GACCTCCGCCTCGACATTTCCCAACCTCGGCGCTAGGCCTGTAGTGCACCCCAGTTTCTCGCGTTACCGTTACCATGCTAGATTCGCTATATAATCTTCGCTCATCCATTCACTCGATATACTGTTTTGCTTCGATAGTGCAATTCTCGCTCGCTCGCTCAATTGCACCCGTAACACTTGATTTGTAGAACTACGATCTCTTCTCGCACCGCGCCCATACCTTCGCTTCCCCATTATCTCAAAAATTTTTTAGGGGGTAGACGTCCCTCAACGACCAAACATCGCTGCTCATATGCTCTTGCGTAAGCACATACAACCACGACTGAGGCTCTCGCTGAGCTTGCCCGACACCCCCGCCATGGCTGAATTCAACCTCGCGACGTTGACGCAAGAGCACCTCGACGAAATTTTGCGCCAACTCGAGGAATCGACGCTCGAAATTGCGGCGCTCACGGCGGAACGTGACGCCTCCCGACAGCAATCAATGGCGAATGCACCCGCACCAGCACCAACACTCGCAAATGCACCTGTGCGATCGGATGAGCCGATTGTCATCTCATCAGGCACACCGTCGCAGAACGACAGCGTGGGACAACGCTCAGGCGCAATCAGTGATGGCGCCGCCCAATCAATGCCAGGCATGGAGAGGACGAGGGCCGCACCGGGCATAAACGTACCCCGCGAAGCGCATCGTCACGTCGGATTCAGTACACCTGCCGGCAATGACGACATTGGAAAGCCGATGCCGCTCAAACCACAGTGCCCGCCATGCTTCGATCCTAGCCAGCATGGAGGTTCGATGGTTCAATCGTGGATCTTCACGATGAACGTCTTTTTTACGCTAATTACGTCATGTCGGATGCAGCAAAGATTCGGTACGCCATTTCGTTGCTACGGGGCCCCGCCATGGACTGGTGGCGAGTCATTGTGACGTCGTTGCACGCCTACGAGCCACTGTCGCAAGAGGAAGAGCCCGCAGGCCCAGCCGTCAGCTGGAGTTCGTTCTGCAAGACCGCCCAATACAGTACGTGGGATGCGTGGTGCGCAGGACAGGCTTCGAGCGCGCTTTGAGCCGATTGCGGCTTCGATTTCGGCATACCAGAAGCTGCGTACTTGGCGGCAGCGTGGATCAGTTCAAGACTACACCAGTGGTTTTCTTGCGTTGTGCGAGCAGGTTGGCTACATGCACGAAGCAAAGCGAGTGGATCGCTACGTCGGCGGCCTGAAGCTGGAAATATCGCAAGAAATCCTTCTTCGCGGGATCTCAAACTTCAATGAAATCATGGCGCTAGTGGAGAAAATTGACATTTTGCGATGTCCGAGATCAGGGTCCTACTACGAACATCGCCCTCGGGGACCGATCGAGCACGCCACTATACACGCCCTTGTAGCGAGCGCAGCTGCCGCACCATTTAAGAGGTGTTGCGTTGCGTTCAACAGGCCGGGCCATCGTAAGAGCGAATGCCCAGAGGAGCAAAGGCGTCGTGGAGCAGGGGAGGGAGTCTGGGAGGCAGGGAAATGCCAATAGTCAGTAGAGTACGAGCCCACTATTGACGAGACTCGCTGCTTGCCCGACCTCATTGACCCTCACCGAGTCACAGTACCGATTCACACAAGCGATCGGGCTCGGCTGAATAAGGAGGGTACGGCGACAGATTGCCCAATACTGATTCACGGGAAAATACAGGGGGTAGCAGTGAAGATTTTTATTGACAGAGGAGCAAGTCACAGTTTAGTTAATACCGTGACGGCACGGAAGCTGCAACTAACACTTAGCCGCTGCTTACCGAAGGTTGACGCAGCTAAGTTGATGGCACGCCACTAGCTGCACGGGAAGAAGTGGAGAGAGTGAAGGTTCGTTGCGGGGGGAACTTCGGGTTTACACAGGAAATGCGGGGAGCACTGGATGGGTACGACATTTTACTGGGACGTGATCGAATGCGACGCTACAACCTGCGAATTGACTTGACGACAGGTAGCTGCACTGTGCAAAGCGTTGGTAACTGGGTCGAACTACCTCGCTGGCAGTCGCCTGAGTCTTCAACGGTCCACGTCAACGCCATCCCGATGAAACGGGCTGTCACCACTGGAGCTGACGTGTACGCACTGGACATCACGGTAGTAGGAGAAGCAGAGGAGCCGAGTGGTTTTCAGAAACTGCTGGCAGCCATACCGGCCGAACTACTGGAACTACTGAAACGGTACCAAGGAATTTTTCCATACGAATTACCGGAGGGAATGCCACCTCATCGAGCACACGACCACCGCATAAATTTATAACCGAGGGCACAGCCAACCGTACAGCGACAGTTCAGACTAACACAGCCTGAGCTCGACGAGCTAAGGAAGCAGCTAGATTACCTACTGGAGAAATAAATCGTCCGACTGAGTTCGTCACCGTTCGCCGCACTGATACTGTTCACACACAAAAGACAGAGGGTTTTGCATGTGTATAAAGTATCGAAGTACCGTTCGCCTGGGTATTCTCGAAGATCGACTTGCTGGGAGGTTACCACCAGATTAGAGTCGAACTATCGGACTGTGCCAAAACAACTTTTAGAACTAGGTACGGAGTCGTACGAGTACACGGTGATGCCATTCGGACAGACCAACGCACAGGCGACATTTCTGATGACCATGAATGAGGCGTTTAGACCACTTTTAGATAAATGCGTGATAGTTTATCTCAATTACATCCTCATTTACAGTCGCTACAAGCAGCAGTACTTAGCGGATCTAGAAGTTGTATTCAATATTTTATACAAAAATAGGCTACTGACCAAGGGCTCCAAGTGCGAGTTTTTTTGAGGGTCGGCTAGAGTTTCTTAGACACGTTATTTTGGAGGCTGGAGTTGAGATCAACCAGAAAAAGGTTAGATACGTTGAAAGCGTGGCACCCTCCGACAAATATCACGGAGCTGCAGAGTTTATTAGGGTTCGTTGATTATGTGCGTCGGTTCGTCCCCTACATGGCACGGTTAACTGCCCCGCTAACGGACCTGCTACAGAAGGGGGTCACTTTTACGTGAGAAAAGAAAGAGCATGCTGCCTTCTCTGCCTTAAAACTGTTCTCTGTTCACCGCCCGTCCTGCGCATTGCCGACCCACACCGCCCATTCAAAGTAGTAACAGACGCAAGCGACATCGCCATTGGAGCAGTAGCTATAACGATACTACTACTGGCCCGAGATGTTGACCGACGTACAGCGACACGTGGCATCGTGTCCCACTTGCCAGCTCATGAAGTCATCACGACAGCGATCGGCAGGACAGTTGCAACCGATACCACCCCCAGAACGTGCTTGGCAGCAAATGACGATGGATTTTGTCACAGGGTTACCGGCTGGAGCGTGTGGGAACGACGCAATCCTTGTCGTCGTCGATCGGCTGACGAAGATGGCACAATTCGCAGCCTGTAAAAATAATCAATCACAGCCGACTCTTCATCTCCACCGTCGTTCGACTACACGGGATACTAGCAGCAATCATCAGAGAACGCGACACGAAATTCACCAACAACTTCTGGTGGAACTTGTGGCAGCAGTTCGGCACACGACTACAATTCAGTTCATCATACCACCCTGAAACTCTCGGACAGACGGAACGGACCAACCAGACCATGGAGCAATTAATCCGAGCCACGTGTGATGACTCGACAATATGGGAGCAACAACCACCACTGATCAAGTTCGCATACAACAATTCCATGCCAGCGACGACACAACAAACGCCATTTTACCTCAACTACGGATAAAACCCTACTATGTTCATGACCCCGGAACCCGACAACCCAGCACCACGCGCACAACTGTTCGTAGAAATGCTACAGGCAGCCCGAACCCGAGCAGCAGACGCTAATAAAAAATCAAACATTATCGCTAAGCGCATTGCCGACCACCACCGCCGCCTCGTCACTTACAAACCCGACGACCTCGTTCTGCTTGACACTCAAAACCTCCGCCTGCCCATCACTCCGAAGTTCCGCCCACAATATTGCGGGCCATTTCGCATCAGCCACATAAGCACACCCGTCACCTCCCACCTCCTCCTCCTCCCTGCTGAATGGTACGTCAGCGGGTCATTTCACGTCAGCTTACTCCGCCCATACGTCCCATCCACCAGCCAACCGCCTCGCAACCGCCTAGCCAGCATGACACAACCACCAACAGAGCCAATCATCACACCCGAGAAAATCTTGAGCCACCGAGTTCGTGACCCACGTGGAGCTCGCAAGATCGAGTTCCTGATTCGCTGGAAAGACCGCAAGCCTACCGAAAATAATTGGGTGACCTTGGATAGAATCGAAAACCACCCTGTCCCCACTGAGTATCTCTGCAGCTGCAACTTCCGGGATATACACGCACTCTCGTAAGGGGAGCCTTCTTGGGGAGGGGGGTAGTGTAAGGAAAATTCATTTTCCTTACTTCGCGCCCCTGCTTACCGCGTACAAGACTGTTCCTGCCAACAGTACCCAAAAGTGCACCGTTACCTCTCGTGACACTCATTTCGACAACTGTTCCCGCCACTGTTCACGACGCGACCCAACCTCACAGTTCGGTTGGTAACCCGCGCTCCGGACCTCCGCCTCGGCATTTGCCAACCACGGCGTTAGGCCCGTAGCGCACCCCAATTTCTCGCGTTACCGTTACCATGCTAGCTTCGGTGTATAACCTTCGCTCATCCCTTCGCTTGATGTACTGTTTTGCTTCGATGGTGCAATTCTCGCTCGTTCATTCAATTGCACCCGTAACACGGCGCCACACTTTGATGATGCCCAAAATGCATCACAATCAGCTTCGCAATCACAAAATGGCCTTGATTAGAGTCACCAGTACTCAATTGTGATTTCATTTCATGGTTTTCCATCGCATAACCAAAACTTAGATAAACCAGAGGTCTCAAACAGGCTTGAGCCTAGACTACATTCACTCATCTCAGAGGAGTCCTTTCCTCTGCCTATCCCACACTTGTGAATGTCTAAGCTGACTGTCAGTCTCAGCCTCAGACCGTGGTTTGCACGGACGCTGCAAGCTCCTCCAGCATCTCCTTCTGCTCCATCGCCACCATGGACTGGTGGAAAGAGGGGGATAGGAAGGAGAGGGGGGGGGAGTGTGGGGAAGCGGGTGAATTGGCATGCCAGCAGAGAGACTAAGTCAGAGGGAAGATCCTCTTGCATCCGCTTTTGCTCCATGGGCACTTTTGGGATGGAGGGGAGTGAAAATGGGTGAGGAGGGCGGAGGGCGCCAGAAACAGAGACATGCTAAGAGGATGATCCTCCCGCATCTCCTTGTGGTGCATCACATCGCCACCATCGACTGTGGAAATGGGGGGGAAGGGGGAGAGCGTGGAAACAGAGGCGGGAGAGAATCGTGCTCAGAAAAACAATCCTACACGGGAGGGGTACTATGAAATCGGTATCTCTTCTGCCCACGGGAGGGCATGTGAGGGAACAGATGAAATGGCTAGGGAAGGTATGGAATGGAATGGAAAGGCCGGAACATGGGCAAACGGAAGCAAAAAGCGCCCTTCAATCAACCCTTGCTGATGATCCATCCACTAGCAGCACGCACTGACTGCAAGAGGCAACGGATTTCGGTGAGCATTCGGAAGCAACAGAAGGCGGGGAGAGGAGGGACGAGCTCGGTCAAAGCAAGAGAAGCACTGCAGCAACATGTAAGCTTTATATGAGAATCCACTATCTGTCAAACCTGGAGAACAGTGTGAGACTTACATCTGACAAATTACAAGCCAGCCGTCCTATTTGGATGGCGTTGCTCGTCCTCACCTGGATGGCATTGCTCGTTCTCACCTGGATGGCATTTCTCGTCCTCACCTGGATGGCATTGCTCGTCCGCACCTGGATGGCATTGCTCGTCCTCACCTGGATGGCATTGCCCGTCCTCACCTGGATGGCATTGCCCGTCCTCACCTGGATGGCGTTGTCAATATCCCCGTTGAGGAACGAGTTGAGGTCAAAATTGATCTTGGTGCGATGGTCCGACACCCGGTTGTCCTGATGGTGGCGGGGGGAGGGGGAGGTTGGCGGGGGGTGTCCCCAGTCCCGACCATCATGAGGGTACGGAGAGCACATGAGAGTTGATCTTGGTGCGATGGTCCGACACTCAGTTGTCCTGATGATGAGGAAGGGGCGGCGGTGGAGAGGGGTTTGATAGATGGAGAGGCATGCGGTTTCTTTCTGCAGATGCATGCCATGTAGGGAGCGCAGCGCATGAGGGTTGCTCTTGGTGCGAATGTCCGACACATGGTTGTCCTGATGGTGGTTGGTAAGGTTATGAGACATGGAGAGGCATATAAAAGTTTCCTTCCGATGCATGTCATGATGGTCCGGGGAAAAGGAACTTGATCTTGCTGTGATGGTAAGGTTCTTCCCTCATGGCATTGCCATGCAATGTGATGCTGGATGGTTATCACGAGTGCCATTTAAGAGGCAAAGCGTTTTCAAATTCCCCTTGTAGTTGTATGTTCTCACCTTTTCAAGTACCACGTGGGAAGAAAGCAAGCTCATCTCATCGCGACATGCCCACCCCATCGCCCGCATCACATGCCCACCCCATCGCCCGCATCACATGCCACCCCATTGCCCGCATAACAAGCCCACCTTGTAGTTGTACGTTCGAATCTTCTCGGAACGGGAGCCCGTGCCGACCTGCATGGGAACAGGCCAGACGAATTAATGAAAAGGAAAGCCACAACAGGCCACAGGGTTGCATGCATTTCAGTCGTAGAAAAAGCTATGCGTGAGAATGAGTGAGGTATATTTAGGCACCTAAAATAAAGCTGGGTGGGGTGGTGGTGAGAAGGACGTGAATGTGTGTGATGTCATGACAAAAGATGATGAGGGGTGTGAGGAGGAATGAGGTAAAAAGAATTGCATAGAGAGGGAGGTGCAAGAGGCACATGGAAAGCACTCGTGCCACATTAGACCGCAGAAATCAACACTCATCCCACATATGCTCATCCCACATATGCTCATCCCACATATGCTCATCCCACATATGCTCATCCCACATATGCTCATCCCACATATGCTCATCCCACATATGCTCATCCCACATATGCTCATCCCACATATGCTCATCCCACATATGCTCATCCCACATATGCTCATCCCACATATGCTCATCCCACATATGCTCATCCCACATATGCTCATCCCACATATGCTCATCCCACATATGCTCATCCCACATATGCTCATCCCACATATGCTCATCCCACATATGCTCATCCCACATATGCTCATCCCACATATGCTCATCCCACATATGCTCATCCCACATATGCTCATCCCACATATGCTCATCCCACATATGCTCGTCCCACCTGCGATCGTCTGCGAGAACTGACTTCGTCCTGTTGCTCCTGCAGCATGCGCTCATATCTGTGAGGAAAAAGGAGGAACAGAGGGAAAACAGAATGACAGTATAGGAGGCATGGTAATCGTGTTGCTGACTAGCTTCGTCCTGTTGCTCCTGCAGCATGCGCTCATATCAATGCGGGGGGTTGAGGGATAGAAAGACCGGGGGGAAGCCGAGGGAAGCAGTGAGAGAGAGTGGAGGGATAGAGAGTGTGCCGTGGTGACCGTGCCATGGTGACCGTGCCATGGTGACCGTGCCACGGTGACCGTGCCACGGTGACCGTGCCACGGTGACCGTGCCACGGTGACCGTGCCACGGTGACCGTGCCACGGTGACCGTGCCACGGTGACCGTGCCACGGTGACCGTGCCACGGTGACCGTGCCACGGTGACCGTGCCACGGTGACCGTGCCACGGTGACCGTGCCACGGTGACCGTGCCACGGTGACCGTGCCACGGTGACCGTGCCACGGTGACCGTGCCACGGTGACCGTGCCACGGTGACCGTGCCACGGTGACCGTGCCATGGTGACCGTGCCATGGTGACCGTGCCATGGTGACCGTGCCATGGTGACCGTGCCATGGTGACCGTGCCATGGTGACCGTGCCATGGTGACCGTGCCATGGTGACCGTGCCATGGTGACCGTGCCATGGTGACCGTGCCATGGTGACCGTGCCATGGTGACCGTGCCATGGTGACCGTGCCATGGTGACCGTGCCACGGTGACCGTGCCATGGTGACCGTGCCACGGTGACCGTGCCACGGTGACCGTGCCATGGTGACCGTGCCACGGTGACCGTGCCACGGTGACCGTGCCACGGTGACCGTGCCACGGTGACCGTGCCACGGTGACCGTGCCACGGTGACCGTGCCACGGTGACCGTGCCACGGTGACCGTGCCACGGTGACCGTGCCATGGTGACCGTGCCATGGTGACCGTGCCATGGTGACCGTGCCATGGTGACCGTGCCATGGTGACCGTGCCATGGTGACCGTGCCATGGTGACCGTGCCATGGTGACCGTGCCATGGTGACCGTGCCATGGTGACCGTGCCATGGTGACCGTGCCATGGTGACCGTGCCATGGTGACCGTGCCATGGTGACCGTGCCATGGTGACCGTGCCACGGTAACCGTGGTAACCGTGCCATGGTGACCGTGCCACGGTGACCGTGCCACGGTAACCGTGCCATGGTAACCGTGCCATGGTGACCGTGCCATGGTAACCGTGCCATGGTAACCGTGCCACGGTAACCGTGCCATGGTGACCGTGCCATGGTAACCGTGCCATGGTGACCGTGCCATGGTAACCGTGCCATGGTAACCGTGCCATGGTGACCGTGCCACGGTAACCGTGCCATGGTGACCGTGCCACGGTAACCGTGCCATGGTGACCGTGCCATGGTAACCGTGCCATGGTAACCGTGCCATGGTGACCGTGCCATGGTAACCGTGCCATGGTGACCGTGCCATGGTAACCGTGCCATGGTGACCGTGCCACCGTGCCATGGTAACCGTGCCATGGTGACCGTGCCATGGTAACCGTGCCATGGTGACCGTGCCATGGTAACCGTGCCATGGTGACCGTGCCATGGTAACCGTGCCATGGTGACCGTGCCATGGTGACCGTGCCATGGTAACCGTGCCACGGTAACCGTGCCACGGTAACCGTGCCATGGTAACCGTGCCATGGTAACCGTGCCGTGCCATGGTAACCGTGCCATGGTAACCGTGCCATGGTAACCGTGCCATGGTGACCGTGCCATGGTGACCGTGCCATGGTAACCGTGCCATGGTGACCGTGCCATGGTGACCGTGCCATGGTGACCGTGCCATGGTCACCGTGCCATGGTAACCGTGCCATGGTAACCGTGCCATGGTAACCGTGCCATGGTAACCGTGCCATGGTGACCGTGCCATGGTGACCGTGCCATGGTAACCGTGCCATGGTGACCGTGCCATGGTGACCGTGCCATGGTGACCGTGCCATGGTGACCGTGCCATGGTAACCGTGCCATGGTAACCGTGCCACGGTAACCGTGCCACGGTAACCGTGCCATGGTAACCGTGCCATGGTAACCGTGCCATGGTAACCGTGCCATGGTAACCGTGCCATGGCAACCGTGCCATGGTAACCGTGCCATGGTGACCGTGCCATGGTAACCGTGCCATGGTAACCGTGCCATGGTAACCGTGCCATGGTAACCGTGCCATGGTAACCGTGCCATGGCACCAGTCATATGCGCACCAGTCATATGCGCACCAGTCATATCATATGCGCACCGGTCATATGCGCACCATGTGAGAATAAGGGTTAGGAATGAAGTTGATGATTGGATTAGAAAGGATGGGGGTATACATAGGGAGTGAGTTGGATACTAGCCTAGGTGAGCATTATTGGACCCCAACCAAGAAGTTGGGTTGTTTTGAGACGTCTCAAAACATCTCTTTTATCACGTTGGGTTGTTTTGAGACGTCTCAAAACATCTCTTTTATCACGGGAGTGAGTTGGATACTAGCCTAGGTGAGCATTATTGGACCCCAACCAAGAAGTTGGGTTGGGAGATTATTGGTGGGGTCCAATAATGTTGGCCAAGTTGGGGTTGGGCCAACATTATTGGAGGGGACCAATAATTCTACCCAACCCAACCTTTGGGGTCCAATAATTGGACCAAGGTTGGGTTTCCAACCTACAAACTGGGTTACCCCAACTTGTACACCCAAACTAAGTTTGGGTGCTTAACTCTAGCCTATCCTATAGCATATATGCAGGTTACAAGAGGAGAGATATTCTAACACACAAGTCATATGCGCACCAGTCATATGCGCACCAGTCATATGCGCACCGGTCATATGCGCACCGGTCATATGCGCACCGGTCATATGCGCACCGGTCATATGCGCACCGGTCATATGCGCACCAGTCATATGCGCACCAGTCATATGCGCACCAGTCATATGCGCACCAGTCATATGCGCACCAGTCATATGCGCACCAGTCATATGCGCACCAGTCATATGATCAGCTATTGTGCAGAGAGTGCGCAACGGTTGCACATAAGAATAGACCCTTTTGGTTGACCTCCAGCCATAACCAATCCTACCCATCCCACTGATCACAACCACTGCCCCCTCGTCCCCCCCTCCACTCACAGCTGGGAGCGCAGCAGGTGCATGGCACTCACAGCTTGGCGCGCAGCAGGTGCATGGCACTCACAGCTTGGCGCGCAGCAGGTGCATGGCACTCACAGCTTGGCCCTGAGCAGCTGCATGGCGCGAATCTTGTTCTTCAGCTGCGAGCGCTCCTCCGTGCAGAAGATGCGGATGCCCGTGGGCTTGTGGAACAGGTCTGCCGCCGTCTCCACCTTGTTCACGTTCTGCCCGCCCGCCCCTCCTGACCGCGCTGTCGTTAGTTCAATGTCCTTGGGGTCGATCACCACTTCTACCTCATCGATCTTTTCCGTGAGATAAGGGGATGGGGTGAGGGGGGTGTGATGGAAAAGGGCACGTGGAAAGGAAGCGAGGGCAGGAGGGAGAGTGGAGAGGGTTGAAGATGCCCGTGGGCTTGTGGAACAGGTCCGCTGCCGTCTCCACCTTGTTCACGTTCTGCCCGCCCGCCCCTCCTGATCGTGCTGTGGTGAGGTCAATGTCTTTCGGGTTGATCACCACTTGTACCTCGTCTATCTGATGGGGTAGATGAGAGGGTGATGAAGGCAAGAGAGGAAAGGACTGAGGGAGGGAAAAAGTGCTGTGGTGAGGTCAATGTCCTTGGGGACTTTCACCCCCTCCACCTTGTCTACCTGACGGGGTGGGTGGGTGGGGAGTAAGGAGGAAAGGGTGCGGGAAAGGAAGCAAAGAGGGAGGGAGGGCTCACTGTGGTCATGTCCCATCCCATCAATCTGTGGGGTCTATCATGTCCATAGAGGGCGCACTGGGGTGGGGTCTATCATGTCCATAGAGGGCGCACTGGGGTGGGGTGTATCACCACCTCTATCCCATCTACCCGTGCGTGTGTGTGCGAGGGAGTGAAGCTGCTTCTCAGGCGCCTCCGGCATGAGTGCACCTCCTCCATCACCGCGAGTGCCGCAGTGGCAGCAGAGGCGTGCAGAGGCGTGTAGAGGCGTGCAGAGGTGTGCAGAGGTGTGCAGTGTGCATCCTGCCTGCCATGCAGAGTACTCAGTAACTGGCACGCGCAGCACTCGCCATCCATGCACATCACTCCGTTACCATCGTCCCTTCCAAACCCTCTTTTGAGACGTCTCAAAAGTCTCCGTTACCATCGTCCCTTCCAAACCCTCCCTCTCCTCCCTTTCACCCACGCCTCTCATCCTCATCTCCGGCCAGCCACACAGGATGAACCCTGCCTCAAGACTCAGCGGCTGCCCGCCACGCACGCGCTGCACACACTGCACGCCACTTCATGTTCCTGCTCCCTTCCCCTCCCCCTACACCCATCTGCACCCCTCTCACCTCGGGCATGATGGCGACTGTAGCAGTGGAGGTATGCACCCGGCCAGCGGACTCAGTAGCGGGCACGCGCTGCACGCGGTGCACACCGCTCTCGTACTTGAGCTTGCTGTACACACGCTCGCCCGCTATCTCCATCACGTACTCCTTGAACCCGCCCATCTCCGCCTGTGGGTGTGGGAGGGGGGGTACGATCGTGGGTAGAGGGAGGAGATGGAGCATCATGCAAGGAGAATCAGCAGTCCCATGCTTGAATTGACTTGAGCTTGCTGTACACGCGCTCGGCCGCTAACTCCATCACATACTCATCCCCCCTCCCTCACCTCCCGACTCAATCCGCCACTCATCCTCTCAGTCAGTCATTTCCCTCATTCCCCACCCCGTCTCTCACCGCCCCGTCTCTCACCGCCCCGTCTCTCACCGCCCCGTCTCTCACCGCCCCGTCTCTCACCGCCCCGTCTCTCACCGTCTCACTCATTTCTTGACGAACCTCAGTGCAGGAAACGGGAGACACGCGCCACCCGTTCTTGTCAGCATAGCGGCTGTACATCTTCACCTGGTGGAGAGCGGTGCAGATGGGTGGGGGCACAGGGAGCAACATACGGGGAGTGAAAAGCCAGAAATGTTTAGCGAATGTGAAGGACATCACTTGTGAGGGGTAAGAGCAGTGCAGTGCAGTGCAGTGCGGTGCGGTGCAGTGCAGTCCAGTGAACTGCGGTGCAGAGCTGAGAAAGAAACGTTTGACTAAACGTTGTGCAGGGCTTGCTGCTGCAGATTCACGTATGCTATCAAGGTTGCTTTCTTTCACTGGTGCCTTCACTCACACCCTTTCTCACAGCAGCGCCTACTCGCATCGAACATGCGGTTGCAGAGAGGTCAAGCAGAGAAACGAGAGTAGATGGCAAGGCGAGTCAACACCAGTCAACGCAGGTCAACGGCGGACAACACAGCACAGAGAAGGAACGCAAGAATGTGCGTTGTCCGCCCAGCTCACCAGGTCACCCGCCCAGATGCCTGCTTCATCCCCTCCTGTGCCCGCCCGCACTGTGATGAGGGACAGACAAGGGGGAGGAAGAGGGGGGGGTGGTGGGGGGGGAGGAGGGCCAGATGGGATTATGGAAGAGAGGTGGTGAGGAAGAGAAGTGGAATCAAGGCACACCCACCAACCTACGACACACCTCCCAGCACCCCTCCACCTTCCAGAAAACAGCACACCTTCCAGCATCATGTTGCGGGCGTCGAGCAGGTTGGTGGGCAGCACCAGCACTTTCAGTCGCCCCTCCTCCCCCTCTTCCCCCCATCCCCCCCCCCACCCCCACCACATTTTCACAAAGCACACACGCACCTTCCAGCATAATGTTCCTTGCATCAAGGGGGTCGGTGGGCCCCTCGGTAAGCACCAGCACCTTCAGTCGCCCCTCCAGCTGCTCTATCTGTGCCTCCAGCTCCTTCAGAGCTAACGAAAACGACACCTACACACCTTCCAACACGCCCCGCACCTCTACAGTCTACACTACACAACGCACACACGCACCTTCCAGCATAATGTTCCTTGCATCAAGGGGGTCTGTGGGCAGCAGCAGCACCTTCCCCCTCTTCCCCCCATCCCCTTCCGCCACATTTTCACAACACACACACACACCTTCCAACATGATGTTGCGGGCATCGAGCAGGTCGGTGGGCAGCAGCAGCACCTTGAGTTGCCCCTCTTCCCATCTTCCCCTCTTCCCCTCTTCCTCTCCCCTTTCCCCCTCCCCTCATGCCTTTATACAACATAAACGCACCTTCCAGCATGATGTTGAGTGCATCAAGGGGGTCAGTGGGCAGCAGCAGCACCTTGAGTCGCCCCTCCAGCTCCTCTTCCCCTATCCCCTCCCCTCCCCTTCCATTTTCACAATGCACACACACCTTCCAGCATGATGTTCCTAGCATCGAGTGGGTCGGTGGGCAGCAGCAACACCTTCAGTCGCCCCTCCAATTCCTCTATCTGCGCCTCCAGCTCCCCCACCTCCTCCCCCGCCATCTCCGCCATCTCCGGATCCGATGCGCTGTCCTTCATCAGGGCTGAAGGAAGGCGTGGGAATGCATGGAAGATGGAGCAAGAAGGAGTGAGGAGTGAGATTGGGTAAGCTGTCTTCCTCTCCAGCTCGCCCACCTCCTCCCCCGCCATCTCCGCCATCTCCGGGTCCGATGCACTGTCCTTCATTAGGGCTGATACGAAGCGAGGGGAATGGAGTAGAAAGGAGTGAAAAGGAGCGAGAGGAATAATATGGTGGTATGATTGCATTGCAGTAAAGGAAAGAAACACGATCACAGGGAGGGAGCATGTGGGAGTGATATAGCAGCATGCTTCGCATCGCAGCACATTTGTTGACGTGTGCATCACACTGCACTGCACTGCACTGCACTGCACTGCACCGCACTGCACTGCACCCAGGCACCGCTATGGTCACCTTTTGCATCTGCCAGCTGCTGCTGCTTGTCCTTCCACTCTGCATAGGCGCTCGCCACCTGCCAGGTGATGGTGAGGATGTGAGACGGAGGGGGAAGAAAATGTTTCTGAGGCGCCTTAAACCAACACTGGACTGAATGTACTCAGTCGCGTTCAACGCCACCTCGGGATCATTTTTAAGTCGACTCGATAATACCCACCTCACCTTCTCTCCCCATCCCCTCACCCCCTCCCCCCACTCCCTCACCCCCTCTCCCCTTTCCCTCACCTCTTCAATCTCGCCTGCTGACTTGGCAATGCGCATGTACTCAGTCGCGTTGGACGCCACCTCGGGATCTGCCAGCCGAATCTGGTGGCGCAGCAGGACACGCATGGGGGGAATGGGTGGGGGTGTTGGGGGTACGGATGGGGGGAACGGTTGGGGGGGAAATGAGGGGGAGGATGGGGGTGAGAACGGGGTTAAGGATGGGATTAAGGGTGGGGTTAAGGATGGGGAAAGGGATCGAGAGAAAGGATATGGGGGACGGATTGGGGGGGGGGGGGGGGGGGGGAAGACGGGGCAAGTGGGGTGACAGAAAGCTGCGGAAGATGGAAACAGATGGAGCACTGCCAGGTTTAAGGAGCATATGGTGCGCCAGGGTGCGGGAAATTTTGAAAAAGCGGTGGAAGGACAAAGAAGGAAGCAAGAAGATTGCGACTCACAGAAAGCTCCTTGAAGGTTCGTTCTGCTGAGTCTAGCTTCGTGATGACGTAAGGCTCCTGAAGGGGCAACGAAAATGAGAAGAACGAGGAGAGGACAAGGGAGAGGAGATAAGGGAGGGAGCGCGGGCGGAGCGGGTGGGGAATGGAGGGGCTAGAGTGAGAAGGTGCTGGGTGGGTAGGCAAGAGCAAGTGACGAGGCTTAAACCCCTCAGAGAACAGGGAGACAGCTCTGAAAGAAGCTGAGCGCCGTGACCATCATACTGCCCGTTGTTTTAAGGGCAAGGCTGTTACAGGCATCGACCCTCTCAGCTTCTCCGCTGTCCTGTCCAGCGGTGTGAACCCAAAAGCTACTCCAAGCCCTTCGGACGGAACAGTGTGTGAAACTTCCATGCTATTCCCCGCCAGCAGGTCGAGAGAAGAGACCGGGGCCTCAAGGAGGGAATGACTTCACTAGTCTGTTTCCAATGCGCTTCAAAAATCGTCAGTGTCCCCAGCAAGGCGTCCTAGAGCATTTCCTTATCAGAAGAGCCGGTAGGAGACAGTCCGTAAGGAGCTGGCAGCCTGGCCTTTGAGACGACTCAAAAGTCACCCACAGCATCTCTTTGAAAGAAGAGCCCGTAGAAGACAGTTCAAAAGGAGCTGTCAGAACTGGCCTGGTCGTCATTGCGATTCGATCACGAGTCGCGGGAATTGCGCTCGTTCGGATTCGTTACGCTGGGAACACGGAACCAGCTAAACCACGCACCAGAGCACTACGGACAACGAATGCCATCCCTGGCCAAACCTTGCACCCCGAAGCTCCCGCATTCCCCGCAATCTGCGCGGCGGAGCGCTGCCACCATGCGGAGGCTCCGCTAAACGCGGAACAGCTGGCGAGCGAGTGGGATCCTGCGGCAGACCCGGCGAGATTTGCGGCGGGAGTGGCGGCGAGGCGACACGAGTGGACCGCATTGCACCTGCCAGCTCCCGTAGCAGTCGACGTGACATGCGAAGTGGTAACCGCGCTGCACGATGTGGTGGCGACGCCGTGCGCTGCGACGGACTGGAGACGAGAAGTCATTGCGAAACAGCAGCTAGAAATACTTCTTCGAAAAAAAGCTTGTTTGGTAAGTGGATAGAATTTGGAGACGTCCGGTGGGTGGGGAATTCCCGAGGTCGCTGCTTTCTGATTGGCTGGGTTAGCTGATGACTGTTGCTGCTCTTCTGGCACTTTTAGCGAAAATGGTTCTCTTTGTAACCACGAAAGCAGTCGCATACGCTGGCAGCGTCGCAAGAGATAATTTCGCCAATATCACATCATGTAAGCGTGTGACCCTCACGAACTTGTGGTGCTTACTGCGCCACGTTAACTCTGATGCGCCGCTATTCGGTTAACTCGTTATGAGATTGAGCGTTTCCAGCAAAGCAGCATGTAGATGTAATGTAAAAGATAAAAAAAAAACATGTACAGATGTCACACCCGTATCAACAAGCACATTGCATCATTTTATCACATTTACAAAGCTGTTTCACCCTGTTTTCCAGCCGCGACTGGTATTGCACAATCATTCCTGTACATGGGTGCAACAGCAATTGCGAAAAAAGAGGCCGAGGAAGAACAAGGACATTGAAAGGGATGGGCTGTACATTTATAGCAGCCTTATATGCAGCTCCTTGCTCCCTGGTTCTAGCCACCATAGTGGCTACGCCTGGTCCCTTTTCTGCTGCTGATGTTGATGCTGATGATGCTGGGGATGGGGCGGATGCCGGTGCTGCTGCTGCTGATGTCGCTGGTGCTGATGGGCGTGGGGATGCGGGTGGGGGTGGGGGTGGCGGCGCTGCTGCTGCAGGCGGCGCATCTCGCTCTTCTCGTGCTCCTCGTACACGGGCAGGCTGCGGATGTTCTGCACCTCCTTCAGCAGCACCTCCTCCGTGATGTTGTCTCGAATGCTCTCCATCACCTGTGAGGGAGGGGAATGCGGAGGGAATGGAATATAGATCAAGGAAACGCCAATGCATCTCTGTTATATTCACCTCCTTCAGCAGCACCTCCTCTGTGATGTTGCCTCGAATGCTCTCCATCACCTGCCAGGAGCAAGGGCAACCACATGCGAGGAGGCAACAGCACGAGAGAAGGCAGATACATACATGCACACCCCCCGCTCCACATGTTCTGCACCTCCTTCAGCAGCACAGCACCTCCTCTGTGATGTTGTCGCGAATGCTCTCCATCACCTGCCAGGGCCGGCAGTGCATGCAGACAGACAGCTGCATTGCAGGCATGAGATGAGACCACGCACACACACGCACACGCACACACACACGCGCTCCCGCACACATGTGTGTGTGCCACACGTTCGGATGCTCCTTGTCAATGTGCACCATCTGACCTTCCACACGCCATCCAACGATACCAGGCGATACACACACCTTTGGCATAACCATCCATCCGCCGCATCACCTGGAATGCGTTGGGGTGCTCCTTATCGGTGCGCACGCGCATCAACTCTCTTAATTCTAGGTACATGATACCCATATCATTCAGCAGGCAGGGGCACCTGAGGTACGTGTGCCATGCGTTGGGGTGCTCCTTATCGGTGCGCACACACATAAGCATTCAGATAAGCATAGGTATTCCTTAATCAAGATTGATGATACTGATAGCATTCAGTAGGCCCGGCCTCACCTTGAGGTACGTGTGCCAGGCATTGGGGTGCTCCTTGTCAGTGCGCACGCGCATGAACTCCCACTCGCCCTCGTCCTTCTTCCAGCAGCACTCCACTATCTTCCCCTCTAGTTCGTTCGCCTCCTCGTCACTCATGCCTACCCGGGGGGAACAGGGGAGGGGTGGGAGAATGGGCTTTAGGGGCGATGGGAAGTGCTATGAATGAGCAGAGCCGAATACCCTAGTCGTGGTGCCAGCAGCACTCCACTATCTTCCCTAGTCGCGGTGCCAGCAGCACTCCACTATCTTCCCTAGTCGTGGTGCCAGCAGCACTCCACTATCTTCCCTAGTCGCGGTGCCAGCAGCACTCCACTATCTTCCCTAGTCGCGGTGCCAGCAGCACTCCACTATCTTCCCTTCAGCTTCGTTCGCCTCCTCCTCAACCATCCCTTCAAGATGGGCGGGGGGAAAAGGATGGGGGGGGGTGGGGGGGGGAGAGAGGAAGGGGCGGCGGAGTGGGTTTCAGGGGTGAAAAGAAGCGTTATGAATGAACAGAAGACAGAATCGAAACTCCACGTTGTGGCGCAGTCAGCACTCCATATATTTTCCTCCAGCGAGCTCGCACCTCCTTCAAGTGTGGTTCAGCAGCGATCCACTGTATTCCTATCCAGCGCGTTGGTTCCTCCTCCCGCATGCGTAGGCGGGGAAAGAATGGAGAGGGGTTGTGGGCGGGGAAAGAATGGAGAGGGGTTGTGGGCGAGACACGTGAGCACAAGTCCACTCCACCTGCTTGCCCTCCATGATTAGAGCAGAACTGTATTGCCACCTGCTTGCCCTCCAACTCTATTGCCTCCTCCTTACTCGTGTCAAGGAGCAGAGGTGTGGATTGGACAAAGTGACACGTTTACGACATGATTAGAGTTATACTGTGGGGCGAGAGCAGGAGAGCGAAGCAAGAGGCACCGACCAGGGTGGGTGAACTTTGCTGCTGGTAGCGCTCGCAGCGTCTTCCTATCGGAGAGCAGCAGCACCCACTTGCCCTCCGGTGATTTCTGCACGCACGCACGCACGCACGCACGCACGCACGGGGGACGAGGGAGGGAGAGGGGAAGGGAAGCGGAAGAGAAGGTGCTGAATGTGATGTAGTGGAACGAGGAACGAAGACAGGGGGGTCAGATCAGCAGGAGTCCACATGAAATGAGTCTAAGGAAAGTCAGCAGGAGTCAAAGCACCTTGAGGCAGAAGTCAACGGAGTTTATGTGAGTGTACTTCCACTTGAGCAGACCTTCATGCGTCAACAGGACAGAGTGCGTCAACATGAGTCAACAAGAGTCAACAAGGGTGAGCACACCCTGAGGCAGGAGTTCATGTGAGCATACTTCCACTTGAGCAGGCCTTCGTGCAGTCAACAGGACAACGTGAGTCGACATAAGTCAACAGGAGTCAACGCACCTTGAGGCAGAAATCAACGGAGTTCATGTGAGCATACTTCCACTTGAGCAGGCCCTCGTGCGTGCGCGGCACATACGCATCGTTCCACCCCTGCGATGCAGAACAGTGTAAGTGCAGGCGAGGGCAGAGGAGGCAGACGTGGGAAGCGGGGGAAGAGGGGAGCTTAAATGTGCTCAGCTCGTCCAAGCAAGCAAATGAGCACTGCCCATTTATTCCCTGCGTGTGGGAAGTGGGAAGTCATGTGAGCGTACTTCCACTTGAGCAGACCCTCATGCGTGTGCGGCACATATGCATCGTTCCACCCCTGCTGTGCTGCACAACGTAAGGGCAGACGAGGGAAGTGGAGGAAGAGAGAAGCTCGGAATGGTCTTCTCTAAGCACGCGATGCAGGGAGCTCGTGCAGGCAAGGCAAATGAGCAGCATTCGTTTCACCCCTTGGTGGGATTGGAAAGAGAATGAAACGCGGCATTTGAAAGGCCATGACAAGAAAACATAACCTGGGTCAACTCATTCACAATGCACACACACACTGCTGACTCACCGCACTCACTGACGGACTTGCAGGATGAGTCCATGAGACTCATTGACCATGCTCATGCACTGACTGATTTGCTTTTGGGCGGTGTACGACCTTTGAGACGTCTCAAAAGCCGTGTACATCCCATGCCGCCGTGGCCGTACACACTGCTGTGCTCACTCACCGCACTCACTGACCGCACTCACTGACGCACCTGCAGAATGAGTCCATCCGACTCGTGGCTGAGCTTGGGAATGAAGTCGTGCAGCAGCTTGCCCACCGTGCTGAACCCACAACAAGCCCACAGGCACTCACTCACTCACTCACTCACTCACTCACTCGCTCACTCACTCACTCACCTGCAAGATGAGCCCATCGGACTCGTGGCTGAGCTTGGGAATGAAGTCGTGCAGCAGCTTGCCCACCGTGCTGAACCCACAACAAGCCCACAGGCACTCACTCACTCACTCACTCACTCACTCACTCGCTCACTCACTCACTCACCTGCAAGATGAGCCCATCGGACTCGTGGCTGAGCTTGGGAATGAAGTCGTGCAGCAGCTTGCCCACCGTGCTCAGCATGTAGAAGTCCTTGCGGCGCACCTGGTGGGGGTAACGTGCGCGTGGGGCATGCATGGTACATGAGGGCTTATGGGGCATGGGGAAAAGCAGCTTGCCCACCGTGCTGAGCTTGAATAAGTCCTTGCGCTTCACCTGGTGGTGGGGGTGATGGGGCATGGGGAATGGGTCATGGGGCATGGGGAATGGGTCATGGGGCATGTGTTGGACGTGCATGGAACAATAGAAAGGCAAAGCAGCTTGCACACCGTGCTGAGCTTGTATAAGTCCTTGCGCCTCACCTGGTGCCTGTGATGGGGCATGGGGCATGGGGCATGGGGCATCGCTGCATTCACCTGTTTTTTGGATCGACTCACAACACAACCCACCCGAAACCCTTCAAGATAATAATCACCTGAAAGTCGTCCAAGCTGGAGTCATACACGGGGGGGTTCAACGCGGCATCCATGGTGGTGACTTTCGAGTCGACTCAAAAGGCACCTCGTTACAATGAATGACGAACTCACCTCGTTACAATGACGAGCTCACCTCGTTACAATGACGAGCTCACCTCACTACAATGACGAGCTCACCTCGTTACAATGACGAGCTCACCTCGTTACAATGACGAGCTCACCTCGTTACAATGACGAGCTCACCTTGAAGTCCTCCAGGCTGTAGTCATACACGGGGTTCATCGCTGCATCCATCTTGCGCGGCGCCACCACCTCCTTCTCTATCAAATCAAACCGCTCTGCAAACGGTCTCTGTAGGGGGGAGCGAGAATGACAGGAAGGGAGCAGAGGAGTGGTGACGGAGAAGGCTATTAGCTAGGTGCCTCAATTTAAAAAGAGCCTGCTCAACCACCACCACCACCCTCACTATTATATCGCTCCTCAAAAGGCCTCAGGGAGGAGGGGAAAAGCAGGCACACCCACGCATGCACGCACGCACGCACGCACGCACGCACACACACATTACAAACAAAAAAAAAAAAATCGTAAACAGCACCTCGCTCTCTACATCACTACTCACACCCCCACCCCTCCATCACCAAAACCCCCCACACACCACTCTCAACATCCCCATGTCCACTCACATCCCCCAGCGGCATGCTGTCCAGCATCATGAGGTCGTAGATCAAATAGCGCCGCTCCTGCACGCCAGTGCCGGGCAGCTCATCCACCACCATCTCCCCATCCAGCAGTGTGGTGCGGTGCACGTCCCAGTCGTCCACCGGCTTGTGCTGCAGATGCTTGCGCGCGGGGAAGCGCATTTGTACTCGCCGAAACCGGAAGTTCCTGAGTATGGGAGGAAGGGAGGGGGAGGAGGAGGGGTGCGCGGGGAGGGATTGGAGAGGAAGAAACAGAGTTGGGAGCTTTGTACTCGCCGAAACCGGAAGTTCCTGAGGTGGGGGGAGCGAAGAGGAGGGTGTGTTGCAGTGTTTGGATCGTGTGCCCTAATGGAAAAATTAGCACACCTGTCGATGAGGTAGCAGCAGTCACATATCGCGATATATGATGGCATACCTATCATATGTGAGAGCAGACAAGCATCATATATCGCATAAATAGACAGTCCCTGTCAATGCAAGAATGTGTAGATCGCAGCAGCACCAGTCTGTCAGTGCGAGCACACCTGTCAATGAGGTAGCAGCCATCGGGGCAGATGAGCATCATGTAGCGTGTGCCAAGGCAGTCACTCACTCTCAACTTGTCTACCTGTCAGTGCAAGCACCAGTCTGTCAGCGCGAGCACACCTGTCGATGAGGTAGCAGCCATCGGGGCAGATGAGCATCATGTAGCGTGTGCCAAGGCAGTCACTCACTCTCAACTTGTCTACCTGTCAGTGCAAGCACCAGTCTGTCAGTGCGAGCACACCTGTCAATGAGGTAGCAGCCATCGGGGCAGATGAGCATCATGTAGCGTGTGCCAAGGCAGTCACTCACTCTCAACTTGTCTACCTGTCAGTGCAAGCACCAGTCTGTCAGTGCGAGCACACCTGTCAATGAGGTAGCAGCCATCGGGGCAGATGAGCATCATGTAGCGTGTGCCAAGGCAGTCACTCACTCTCAACTTGTCTACCTGTCAGTGCAAGCACCAGTCTGTCAGCGCGAGCACACCTGTCAATGAGGTAGCAGCCATCGGGGCAGATGAGCATCATGTAGCGTGTGCCAAGGCAGTCACTCACTCTCAACTTGTCTACCTGCCAGTGCAAGCACCAGTCTGTCAGCGCGAGCACACCTGTCGATGAGGTAGCAGCCATCGGGGCAGATGAGCATCATGTAGCGTGTGCCAAGGCAGTCACTCACTCTCAACTTGTCTACCTGTCAGTGCAAGCACCAGTCTGTCAGCGCGAGCACACCTGTCGATGAGGTAGCAGCCATCGGGGCAGATGAGCATCATGTATCTCGTGCCATCAGCCTTCCATGTCACGTAGTACAGCCGCTGCCGCAGCAGCTGCAGGTTCTTGCTGCATCATGCACCACCATGCATGCCACATGCGGAAAGTGGGTGGGTAGCGTAGGGATAGCGTTGAAGGTTCTTGCTGCGTTGGGTAGCCCACAGGGGGAAAATGTGAAGTCCAGTAGAGATTCGAAAGACCGCACGCTAGGACAGGCACAAGGGACGCGGCTCATCTCTTACAATGATATAAGAACCCATTTCAAACCAATCTTTAAGGTGCTCCCCCTCGAAGCATGATTGATGTAAAATGTACAGAGAGATCCGAAGCATAGGCTTGAGCATTTGCCCCGAACGGAGCAGGTCGACCCTACCCTACTTGACCCTAAACCCGAGATTTTAAACCCTGAGACACCTTAACAGAGGGGTTAAGGTTGGGAGGGGAATGACGGTGAGAGACCCGAAGCTTACAGGTCCAGCGAGACTGGTTGCAAGCAGCGTCTCGAAACTCGAACCTTGAAGTTGAAGCGGCTCAACAGAGGGGGTGAGGTGGAGAAGGGAAGGGAGGGACGGTGAGAGACAGGGGGCTTACAGGTCCAGTGAGACTGGTTGCGAGCCGGGGAAGTGCCGAAAATTGTTCTGGATGGAGATGAGGAATGGTTGGAGGTGAAAATGGGAACTACTTGAGGGAATTCAAGATGAGAACCCGGGAAATGGCGCACGTTTGATTGAGAGAATGGCGGAATTGAGGAATGGGATAATGGGTACATGGGGGGAAGCGGGAGGGGGAGGTGAAATTGAGATGAGCACACAACAGAAGGAAAAGGAGGAGAGACTAGCGGTTAGAATACCGGAGGAAGAGAAGGCGATGGAGGGGAGAGGGGAGAGCGAAGAGAGGAGAGGGGAGAGGGAAGAGGAGAGAGAGGAGCAGAGTATGTACGTAGGGGTGAAACTCCACGGTGACGGGGAGCGCTATGTTTTTTCGATCAAGTTAAAACGTGAAGATGGAAGTAAAAAAACATTCAATCCGGGGATGTTCATTACGCCGTTGTCAGCGGCGGTTTGGAAGGACGTCATACAAGTGATCTATACGGTGCTGCCTGAGGAGTCAGAGTTCACAAGATTGAAGAACAAAGTAAACGCCGACTCCTCAGGCACACCGTATGGATCAATCGTGTGACGTCCCTCCAAACCGCCGTCCACCTGCTGTTCCTCCAATATTACCACTCCCACTTTCCTCTCCAACATTTGCACAGCTCTGCACCGCTCTGCACCATTCACCACCCCTCCTCGCTGCACGTACCGACTTGAGCCCTGTGCACACGAGCTGCTGCAGCTCCCACTGCTGCTCCTCCGGTATCGCCGATCCCAGCACATCGTCAATCGTCATCTTCTTCTTTCCCTCCTCCTCCTTGCTTGCCTCCTGGGCGAATACACACGGAGAGAGCAACACACTGATCATTGGATGAAGGCACCCTGAAATCGCATCAAGCAGCCGACCCCAGCACATCGTCAGTCATCATCTGCTTCTTGCCCTTCTCCTCCTTGCTTGTCCCCTGGACGCACACACGCGGAGAGAGCACCATGCTGATTTGTGAATGCTGACAACCCTTGAGCACATCACATCTACCAGCCAAGCCCAACATCACATCTAACAGCCAAGCCCAGCATGTAGTCATTTCCTTCTTGCCCTCCCCCTCCTCGCTGGACCCCTAGGCGGAAAGAAATAACAGCAACAGCACACGGAGAGACAGGAAATGCAAACCACGCCGATGAAAGGTTGCTTATCAGCAGCACATGTTTTGAGTCGACTGGAAACAGAAATAACAGCAGCAGCACACGGAGAGACTGGAAACCACGTCGATGAATGGATACTTATCAGCCTCTTCCAACCTGCCTAAGCCTCTTCCAACCTGCCTAAGCCTCCTCTCAACCATGTCCCGGTCTACCTTGAGTTGCATCTGTCACCATCCACACCACACACCCCCTCTATGCCCACCAAACTCTCCGGTTCTTTCTGGCAGCACCGCAGCGCCACACTCCTCGTTCCCGTCGTCCCCTACCCTCCCTCCCGCCCCCTCACCCACGTCCTCCTCGTCCATCTCTAAGGCCACGTTGAGATCCAGGTCCAGGTCAAACGTGGCCTTCCCCTCCGGCGTGGGCACACCCACAGGGGGAGGTGGGGTGGACCTTCAAGACAGCGACAGACAGACTCACCAGATTTGCGTGTGCTGGACTCACTGGCTCTGGAAGAACAGCAGCGCCACACTCCTCATTGCCATCATCCCCTCCTCTCCCGCCCGCCCCATCACCCGCGTCCTCCTCGTCCATCTCCCAGGCCACGTTGAGATCCAAGTCCAGGTCGAACGTGGCCTTCCATACTTACTAGCTGTTTGTCTGATCCACTCACCGGCTCTGGCAGCACAGCAGCGCCACACTCCTCATTGCCATCATCGCCACCACCGCCGCCTGCGCTGCCACCCGCCTCCTCCTCGTCCATCTCTAAGGCCACGTTGAGATCCAAGTCCAGGTCAAACGTGGCCTTCCACTCGGGCGTGGGCGGGCAGATCACGGCCTCGGGGCGCCGCTCGTGGTAGAAGGAGAAGAGCGACTGGATGTACTCCTCCTTGTATATTCCCGGGGGCCTGGCTTCTGCGAACTCCGCTAGTCGCTGCAACGATTGGGGCGGGAAACAGAGGGTTTGAGGGGCATGGGTGGGAGCAAGACTGATGGTACAAGGAAGGAAAAGAGCGATTGGATGTACTCCCCCTTGTATAATCCCGGAGGGCGGGCCTCTGCGAATTCCGCTAGCCTCTGCATTGATGGGCCCGGGAAACAAGGCGGAAGTAGGGAAATGAGTGGGTTTGAGTGTTTCAGGTGGAGGAGAAGAGAGAGAGGGCGCAACACTGGTGGTGGTACAAGGAGTCAAGAGCGCCTGCATGTACTCCTCCTTCTACGTGCACAGGGGGGGGCCTCTGCCAATTCCGCTAGCCTCTGCATTGGTGAGTGGGTGAAACAAGAGGGACAAAATGAAGAAACATGGGTGGGGCTTGAGGCGCTTGGGAACAAAGCTGGTGGAACAAGGCGACGAGCACGTGGATGTTCTCCTCCTTGTATTGTATTGCATATGCCCCGGGGACGGGCATGGGGGGGAAGACAATGAATGGATAGATAGATGGACGAATGGTCGAACAATGGTGGGTATGAGTGGCAGAATTCATTGTGGAAGGAGCAGCAGAGTGACTCAAACTCCTTGTGCATCCCATTATCCAGCAGTGCCTCTGCCACACGCCACAGTGCCTCTGCCACACGCCACAGTACCTCTGCCACACGCCACAGTACCTCTGCCACACGCCACAGTACCTCTGTCACACGCCACAGTACCTCTGCCACACGCCACAGTACCTCTGTCACACGCCACAGTACCTCTGCCACACGCCACAGTACCTCTGCCACACGCCACAGTACCTCTGCCACACGCCACAGTACCTCTGCCACACGCCACAGTACCTCTGCCACACGCCACAATACCTCTGCCACACGCCACTGCCACACGCCACCATACCTCTGCCCACGTGGCCCCCCATGCCGCGCATGAGGAAGTGGATGATCATGAACCCTGTGCGGTTGCGGTAGAGAATCATGAAGACACATAATTAGCACATGGAGTATCCACCATACCTCTGCCACGTGCCCCCCCATGGCGCGCATGAGCAAGTGGATGATCATGAACCCTGTGCGGTTGTGCCCGTGCGTGCAGTGCACAATGATGCTCTTCTTGCGCTCCGTGGCGCGCATGTAGTCCAGCGCCTGGCCAGAGGAGGGCGGGGGCCGGGGGGAAGCAGGTAAGGAAAGGGGAACATGGCAATGCATCACCATGTCCTTGTGCCGCTCTGTGGCCCGCATTAAGTCCAGCGCCTGGCAAGAGAGGGGCGGGGGGTGGCAGGTGGGGAAAGGGGAACATGGCATGGCAGTGCAGCACAGTGCTCTTCCTGCGTTCCGTGGCCCGAATGAGGTCCAGCGCCTGACCGCGGGAGAAGGAGAAGCGGGACGGGTGAAGGGCCAAGAGGGTGAGGCGTTGCGTTGGACAGAAGAACAAGTGAGGGGGGGGCGCGGGAAAGGAGGGGTGGTGCAGTGCAGCGCGATGCGCTCGCATGTAGTCTACTAGTCCCTGGCAGGCAAGAGGAAAAGGGCGTGGGTGGGGAGCGGGGAACGGGCGACCGGGCGACCGAGGGAATGGGGAGGGAGCGATAGAGAGGCACTGGAGGGGCAGTGTTCAATGCACTTGCATGTGCCGCTCCTTGGGACACGGAATCGGCCGGGGAAATTGGCAGTGACATTCCCAGCGCCTTTCCGAGGAATGAAGGGTGCGGGTGTGACTTTTGAGTCGACGAATGGGGGGTGCAGGTGTGGGACGGGACGGGACGGGACGGGACGGGACGGGATGGGAGAGAGGTGTGATGCAGTGCAGGAGGCTGGACACTTGTGGGCCAGGCAAAGGTGGATATAGGAGAGCTATCGCATAGACGAGTGTGGAGGAAGGAAGCGGAGGAAACTCACTGCATAGACAAAGCGGTTGACTGTCTCGTCGTCTGGTACCTCGTCTCGACCCCTGCAGGCCAGCTGGTGGGCGCCGCACACACGAAAGGGGCGAGACAAGGAGAGACAAGACAAGGCAAGGTGAGAGACACATAGACAGCCATTCTTTTAGGCGCCTCAAAAGCAATTGACTGTCTCGGCGTCTGGTACCTCATCTTGCCCCATGCAGGCAAGCTGGTGGGAACCGCACAGAATAGAAGGTGAAACAAGAGAAGGTGAAACAAGAGAAGGTGAAACAAGAGAAGGTGAAACAAGAGAAGGTGAAACAAGAGAAGGTGAAACAAGAGAAGGTGAAACAAGACAAGGCAAGGCAAGACAAGGTGAGCGATGCAGAGAAGGGGGAGAGATGCCGAGAAGGGGGTGCGATGCAGTGAAGGGGGGGAAATGCAGAAAAGACAACAAATCTATCATATCGGTGTGGCATGAGTGGTACAAGGCATGGCATGGCAAGGCAGCTCTGGTGACTGGGAGAGCAACACATCCACTTTGCTTTGCTTTGCTCCCACCCTACTGGACTGGGTGGGTGCGTGCGTGTGTTACTCGCCCTCGTCTGCTTAGTTTCACTTCACACGTGTACCTTCCATGTACCTTTCGTGTCTTCCTCGCCATCATTCAAAATTCAGGAAATTCCTGATTGGTTACAGTCTCGTTCATTCATCATGCACTTCACCCGCCTGTATCAAGATCAGCTCCTGTGAATTTTCTTGCCTTGCCGCTGTGGGTCGTGCCCTGCTCACCTTCAGGTGCCCTGCTCACCTTCAGGTGCCCTGCTCACCTTCAGGTACATCGCTTTCTGCTTCTCTCATTGCACCACGTGCTGCCCTCATTGCACCACGTGCTGCCTCGCCCTCATTGTGCTGCCTGCCTTCTCACCTTTTCTCACCTTGAGGTACTTCACGTTAAGCTTCAGCCAGTCTTTTGGGTTGTAGTAGCGCGCGGTGTTGGTGAGGTCAGTCACCACCATGCCCACGTGCTCAATCATTTCCCTCCTCCTAACCTCATCTCACCTTCGCATGCCTCGCATTCTGCTTCTCACACTAGACAACGTCCTGCCTTGCCTTCAACTTACCTTGAGGTACTTCACGTTGAACTTGAGCCAGTCTTTTGGGTTGTAGTAGCGCGTGGTGTTGGTGAGGTCAATCACCATGCCCACCTGCCATCAAAACATGAGAGAAGAGAGCCGCGCAAGGAAGCAAGGAGGGGCGAAGCAGAACAGAAATACTCTCTGAGTCAAGTCAAAAAGCTTCGACCAGTCTTTTGTGTTGTAGTAGCGCGTGGTGTTGGTGAGGTCGATCACCACCATGCCCACCTGCGATCATCGCATCACATCGCATCGCATCGCATCGCATCACATCGCATCGCATCACACCACACCTCACCACATCACACCACACCACACCACACCAAACCACACCACACCACACCACACCACATCACGTCACATCACATCACAACACACACGAGAGAGGAGAAGAAAGTCTCTCTTTGAGGCGCCTCAGCAAAAGAAGTGCGTGGTGTTGGTGTTGGTGTTGGTGTTGGTGTTGGTGTGGTGAGGTCAATCACCAGCCCCACCTGCGATCATCGCATCACATCACATCACATCACATCACATCACACACGAGAGAAGGGAGCTTCATTAAAGCAAGGACAGAACAGAAGAGAGGGAGATTTTTTTATTTTTATTTTTTTTTCATTCTCAGGGCACCTGCCCTGCGCAAACACGAAACAAGGGCTAAACTAAAAATCAGATGCAGGCGAGAAGAAAACATTTCACATCAATGTTGGAACTCAATCCCCGCTCACACATTTCGTCCTGCTTCCATGTCTACAGCCACCGCTTGCCTGCTGTGCTGAGCTCACATGTGGACCTCGCTAACTGCATACATACAATACCTCCCTCGTGACCACCCCCTCCTCCACCTACATCTTTCTTCATGCTCCACGGACCACGTCTACCTGAGCACCACATCGGGGGTCCAGCACTTGTGTGCTCACTCACATGCGAACCACGCCAACTGCACACAATCCTCCGTTCCATGCCCTCAACACCCCCCCCCCCCAACCACCACCGCCATGTACGTCTTTCTTCATGCTCCGCGTCTGCCTCAACACCACATAGGGGGTTCACCGCTTGTGTGCTGTGCTCACATGCGAACCACGCAAACTGCATACAAACAATCTCCCGTTCCGTGCCCCCAACACCCTTCCCCAACCCAAACCACCACGTGCGTCTTTCTCAATTCTCAGCGTCCACTGCTTGTGCGCTGAGCTGCGCTGTGCTGTGCTGAGCTGTGCTGTGCTGTGCTGTGCTGAGCTGTGCTGTGCTGTGCTGTGCTGTGCTGTGCTGCGCTGTGCTGTGCTGTGCTGTGCTGTGCTGTGCTGTGCTGCGCTGTGCTGTGCTGTGCTGCGCTGCGCTGTGCTGTGCTGTGCTGTGCTGCGCTGTGCTGTGCTGTGCTGTGCTGCGCTGCGCTGTGCTGTGCTGTGCTGTGCTGCGCTGCGCTGTGCTGTGCTGTGCTGTGCTGCGCTGTGCTGTGCTGTGCTGTGCTGTGCTGTGCTGTGCTGCGCTGCGCTGTGCTGTGCTGTGCTGCGCTGTGCTGTGCTGCGCTGTGCTGTGCTGTGCTGCGCTGTGCTGTGCTGTGCTGCGCTGTGCTGTGCTGTGCTGTGCTCACATGCCAACCTCGCTAACCCAAACTTGTGTGCCCACATCGGGGGCCGCACTAACTGCATACACAGAATCTCTCCCTCTCCACCCACCCCCACAACCACCTACGTCTTTCTTTATGCTTTGTGTCTGCCTGAGCGCCACAACGGGGGTCCACCGTTTTCCTGCCCACACACACAACGCATCCCTTACTACATGCATGCATCCCTTACTACATGCATGCATCCCTTACTACATGCATGCATCCCTTACTACATGCATGCATCCCTTACTACATGCATGCATCCCTTACTACATGCATGCATCCCTTACTACATGCATGCATCCCTTACTACATGCATGCATCCCTTACTACATGCATGCATCCCTTACTACATGCATGCATCCCTTACTACATGCATGCATCCCTTACTACATGCATGCATCCCTTACTACATGCATGCATCCCTTACTACATGCATGCATCCCTTACTACATGCATGCATCCCTTACTACATGCATGCATCCCTTACTACATGCATGCATCCCTTACTACATGCATGCATCCCTTACTACATGCATGCATCCCTTACTACATGCATGCATTTAAGTTCTCCCCTCTTCTCCTCATCAACACTCCCCCCCCCTCCACCACCCCCACCCACCCCCACCCCCACCCCCACCGCCACGTACGTCTTTCTTCATGCTCCGCGTCTGCTTCAGCGCCACATCGGGCGACCACCGCTTGCCTGCCTCCCACAACACATCCCTTGCTACATCCCTTGCTACATCCCTTGCTACATCCCTTGCTACATCCCTTGCTACATCCCTTGCTACATCCCTTGCTACATCCCTTGCTACATCCCTTGCTACATCCTTTTGCTACATCCCGCATATAGGCCTCGCCCTCCCTCCCCTCATCCCCATCCCACTAACCCCAACCGACCAACCACAGCAGCCCCCCACCACGCCACGTACATCTATCTTCATGCTCCGCGTCTGCTTGAGAGCCACATCGGGCGACCACCGCTTGCCCGGCTCCACCAGCTCTCTGAACGCCTCCCCCAGCGGCGCCTTGCACGGAATGAGCAGCCCCATGGCCTCGCCCATAGACGGGCAGTCGACCCACCCTGAGAGGGGGAAAGGGGGAAAGGGAGCAGGAAAAGACGAGGAGTGATCGAATCAGGGACGGGTGGAGAAACAAGCTGGACTTGCCCGGCTCCACCAACCCTCTCAACGCCCGGCTCCACCACTCAACGCCTCTCCTAGCGGCGCCTTGGCAGGGATGAGCAGCGCAGCCCCATGGCCTCGCCCATAGACGGGCAGTCGACCCACCCTGACTGAGTAAGGAAGACGGAGGGAAAAAAAACAAAACGTTAGAAAAATTACAGGTGGGGCAGGAAAAGGGTTACGTGTCTCCACCAGCTCTCTAAACGCCTCCCTTAGCGGCGCCTTGGCTGGGATCAGCAGCCCCATGGCCTCGCCCATTGAAGGGCAGTCGATCCACCCTGGTGGGACAAGAGAGTGGGAAAGCAGGAGTAATAGTCAGATCAAATTAGGGACAGGAAAAGATACAAGCTGGCCTTTCCAGCTCCACCAGCTCTCTGAACGCCTCCCTCAGCGGCACCTTGGCGAGTAGGCATGTGCTAGCAGACGAGCCGAGGGAAACTCGGCTCGTCTTGGTCAGGCTCGGCCGAGCATTTGCCTGAGCCAAGGAAAACTCGGCCGAGCTTTTTTAGCTCAGGGGCTGACTCAGCACTCGGTCCATAATGGTCCAATGGACGACTTTTGTAGAAACTCGCCGAGTTTTTAAAAAAACTCGGCAGAGCCGAGTAGAAGTAACGAAAAGTTTATCTGATTTTATTTGAAGTGTAATGTTGTTGGATCGCATGACAAACTGGCGCTGGGAAGACGTTTACGATGGTAGATACGACAACACATTGCTTAATATCTGCTAAAGATACTAAACAATGATTCATCTTACCTTCCATCGTGAACGTCTTTCCAGCGCCAGATTGTCATGCATTCCAACAACAATGCGTCCAATATAAAATCAGGTAAGCTTCTCATTACGAACACATGTATCGAAGAAGCGCAACTCATTTGGCTGTGTCGAGGGTAGATGCTGGTTACGAATAGCTAATAGGCTACAACACATTGGAAGGATGCTGCTAAAACGGAAGCCTAAGACTGCAATATCGCGGCAACTCTTTTCTCAAAAACCATGGAGTCCAAAAAACCCCGCGAGTTCAAAACAAACTCACGAAAGGTGCGCGAGTCTTGAACGAGTTGGAAAAAACTCGTCGAGTGAAACTCGGCTCGCATCGGCCGAAATTTTTCCGGCTGATCCTCTCACTCATCACTCGTCCCTGGATGAGTGCAGGGAACAAGACGAGATTTAAAACTCGTCCAAGTGCACATGTCTATTGGCGGAGATCAGCAGCCCCATGGCCTGGCCAGCCCCAAGGGCAGTGGATACACCCTGGTGGGGAGGAAGCAGGAGAACAATAACACGTTGGAAAAAAGACAGGCGGGAGGAAGAAAAGGTGGGGTTGCCTGGCTCCACTAGGACTCAACAGTCATCTCCAATCAGGGGTGAAGTGAGGTTGTCTGAACTCACTGGGACGGACCATCAAGCGGGGGTGCTTTGAATCGGTCGAATTGAATGGGTTACGGACGTACCATCAGGCAGAACTGAACAGAACGGCACGTACCATCAGGCAGAACTGAACAGAAGGGCACGTACCATCAGGCAGAACTCAACAGAACGGCACGTACCATCAGGCAGAACTGAACAGAACGGCACGTACCATCAGGCAGAACTGAACAAAACGTCACGTACCATCAGGCATAACTGAACAGAACGGCACGTACCATCAGGCAGAACTGAACAGAACGTCACGTACCATCAGGCAGAACTGAACAGAACGGCACGTACCATCAGGCAGAACTGAACAGAACGGCACGTACCATCAGGCAGAACTGAACAGAACGTCACGTACCATCAGGCATAACTGAACAGAACGGCACGTACCATCAGGCAGAACTGAACAGAACGGCACGTACCATCAGGCATAACTGAACAGAACGTCACGTACCATCAGGCAGAACTGAACAGAACGGCATGTACCATCAGGCAGAACTGAACAGAACGGCACGTACCATCAGGCAGAACTGAACAGAACGGCACGTACCATCAGGCAGAACTGAACAGAACGGCACGTACCATCAGGCAGAACTGAACAGAACGGCACGTACCATCAGGCAGAACTGAACAGAAGGGCACGTACCATCAGGCAGAACTGAACAGAACGGCACGTACCATCAGGCAGAACTGAACAGAACGGCACGTACCATCAGGCAGAACTGAACAGAACGTCACGTACCATCAGGCATAACTGAACAGAACGGCACGTACCATCAGGCAGAACTGAACAGAACGGCACGTACCATCAGGCAGAACTGAACTGAACAGAACGTCACGTACCATCAGGCAGAACTGAACAGAACGGCACGTACCATCAGGCAGAACTGAACAGAACGGCACGTACCATCAGGCAGAACTGAACAGAACGGCACGTACCATCAGGCAGAACTGAACAGAACGGCACGTACCATCAGGCAGAACTGAACAGAAGGGCACGTACCATCAGGCAGAACTGAACAGAACGGCACGTACCATCAGGCAGAACTGAACAGAACGGCACGTACCATCAGGCAGAACTGAACAGAACGTCACGTACCATCAGGCATAACTGAACAGAACGGCACGTACCATCAGGCAGAACTGAACAGAACGGCACGTACCATCAGGCAGAACTGAACTGAACAGAACGTCACGTACCATCAGGCAGAACTGAACAGAACGGCACGTACCATCAGGCAGAACTGAACAGAACGGCACGTACCATCAGGCAGAACTGAACAGAACGGCACGTACCATCAGGCAGAACTGAACAGAACGGCACGTACCATCAGGCAGAACTGAACAGAACGGCACGTACCATCAGGCAGAACTGAACAGAACGGCACGTACCATCAGGCAGAACTGAACAGAACGGCACGTACCATCAGGCAGGGGCCCACAGGACGGCCTCCTCTGACCCCCTGACGCTCGGTGCTCCGACCCGCCGCCACCGTCCCCGTGCCCATGGTACCCGTTGCCTCCACCCCCACCACCGCCACCGCCACCACCGAAACCAGCGCCAGCGCCGTCAGCGGCTCGCCTCTGGCGCGCTGACGGGCGGCCCTCCTTCTCCTCGCGCTCCATGTTCTTGCGCTTCATCATCAACATCCGCTCCTGCCGCTCCTGCTCAAGGGAGCACAGTGACACGCACAGGTGACACGTGACAGGCGAGAAATGTGAAATTCTCATGGACCAGTGCCGAGTTGACGAGTGGACGATTGGACTTATACACGAGAGGAAGGCCAGCTCATTGCGCTGCTTATGTTCTTTTCTTGTGCGCTTCATCAGCAGCATCCGTTCCTGCCGCTCCTGCTCAGAGGAACACAGGGGCGCGGACAAGTGACACATGAGAGGTGGAAGGTGGCAGGTGAGGTGACACGTGAGATGTAACAGTTAGCAGGTGACACGTGGCAAGTATCCCTATGAAACAGTCGATTTATGTGTGCTTCCGCTCCCTCCTCTTCCCCTTTTTCACCAGCGTCCGCTTCCCTTGCTCCTGCGGAGCGGATGAAAAGGGGAACACCTAATCCGCTTTCCACTCCATCTGTAACCTCCTCCCGCTTCCCCCTCCTCCGCACGAGCCTTTGCGATAACTTGAGAAGTAAGGCCCTCCATTCTTATCAATCATCCCTATGAGCTCCAAACGGCATCCACGGCTAAGCGGGGAGGTAAACAGAGTATTTGAGAAAGGCGTGCATGCGATAGCGTCACGAAGAGTGCAAGAAACGAGATAGGAAGAGTCAATGTTGTGGAACGACATCTAAACGGTAAGCGCTCTCCATGACAACACCTCTGACATCTAAACGGTAAGCGCTCTCCATGACAACACCTCTGACATCTAAACGGTAAGCGCTCTCCATGACAACACCTCTGACATCTAAACGGTAAGCGCTCTCCATGACAACACCTCTGACATCTAAACGGTAAGCGCTCGCCATGACAACACCTCTGACATCTAAACGGTAAGCGCTCTCCATGACAACACCTCTGTCCAGCTGTACGTTATAACACGCAGCTGCACACATCTTCCTGTCTCGCTAATCCCAGACGACGCTAAACTTAGCCTCGAAACAAATAATTGGTTACGTGGCAATTGCGTACCCGCATGTACACCGCCGAAACGGACTCTTCGCCGCCATTTTGTTCTTCTTGATTCATGTTTTCAGGCCTCTCCTCCAATTAAGTCATAAAGCAGCGAAACGACGTCTGCCTAGAATAATATTCCTGAAATTCTCCTGGTTTCGAAAGGTGCTTAGGTAACAGGAGCCGCACCGCCTAGGCCTAGCCCCTGAAGGCAGATACTGAAATGGAGCTAGCGTGTTTGGGGTATATTCCGTTTCTGACACCACCATGCGGACTCAGAGATGCATGTGGTGGGGAGAAAATGTTACAGCCGGTAACCAGGGCGTGTAGTACAGTTTTTATGGAACGTTCGTTATATGCTACCTGAAGGAATGTTGGAATTACGTGGTGAGAAGCAGAAACGAAACCAATTCGCGAAAGTGTGACGAACCCCACCACTCGGGCAACCTGGTTAACGAAATGGACGTCGTGCACAATTCGCACAAGGGTGGCAACAGAAGTTATTTTCCCGTACACCCCAAAAGCGATTAGCACTTCCATTCTCAAAATTTGCAAATCAACGCTGACTTTTTGTGAACAGCGGCGGTCCCAGAGGATGGACCCCAGATCCAGTGGCGAAAGCTCACTGGATTCAATCAGTGGTGATCTTTGTTAGACCTGGTTGCAAAATTATAGATTATTTCGTGATTTGAGGATACTAAGAATGTTTGGGTAAGCCCGAAACGTAACTTGAACCCTGATTGCCAGTCTGCCTTCTCTCCCCGCCATTTTTCAGATTCCAGATTCTCGCGCCTGCCAGCAAAATGGAATCCCAAGGTTGAACCTCGCTTGCCCAAGTTTCCTTCTTATTCTCCTCCACCATCTGTCCTTCTGGCCACTTCTCAATCACTTCCACATTCTCATTTCCGCGTGTTCTTCATCCAGGGCTAATATGTCGTGAAATCCGAACAGACTCTGCGTTATTGCTTCGATTTTTTTTTCATAGTCGTTTCGTTACAACCGCTTGTCCCATCGCACAGTCGCAGCGATGGACGTGCGACGAGGCCATGCGACAGGCGGGAGGCAATCGCCAGACGGTTCGGACCACGACGAGGCCAAGCGGAAGTCGGATTCCATTTTCGCTCCGCGATCGGCGGCGCAGAAGCGGCGACAGTTCGTCGCACAGGTCGCCATGATCACCGTCGCAGCAGTCATTCTCATCGTTATGCTCGCCAGACCGTCGCATCCGACCAATCAGAGTAAGTCACCACCTTTTTCTTTCTTATTATTTATCAGGAGCAGGCCCTCTAACACTTATCTCCATCACTGACCACATTCGTAAGTAGTAGTCAGCAACGCCGTCGTCTGGAGCATGGAGCGTCTCGTTCTGACACACTATGCCGCTTCAGTGCCAGGGGTAGCGGTAGTGCGTATGCATCAGCCGTCTGGGAAATGGTTTGTGATGCTTTCGAAGCTTCGCAAATCGCGGATCCGCAAGCTGCTGAGCTTCCCAGCTTGTGTGCGAGCGACGTCGACGTGTCCTTTCCTTCCCGTCCTCGTCTGTGCCACTCTCTCCTTCTCGTCCCGCTCAAACTTCTCCCACAATGATTGTCTTGATCAAGTCAAGAGATGCCCTGTGTTCCTCCGACGTTGAATCTCGTCGTTCCTCCTCCCGTACCGCGCCTATGCAATGCAATGCAATGCAGGCGGGTCAGACATCACCAAGGGCACCACGGTCGGCCCGGCGGTTCAAGCGACAGAGCATGTAGGTGAAAGAGCTCGCCTTTTCACGGTGAGATCACGCTGAATACACGTGACTTGTTTGTGCGCGCGAAGCTGCTTGCGCGGTTCGCGGGGAAAGCCTAGTCTCGAGTTTTTCAAGAGTTGTACACTTGGATGGCAACCTCTAGATCACTAATCGAGGAGCTAGTCGATATGCGTGACAAAACCAGGTCGAGCGCTTCCGTTCTACACAATGTATGCAATCTCTTCAATCATGCTGCCATTGATGCAATGCTGCGGTGTATGTATGCAATGTTACGATGTTTGCAATATCCCCTCATTCCGCCTCTCTCATCCATACCCCCACCTGTCCGCCCCCCAGCTCACACACACGGAGACCAAGACATCGCCACAGGAACCGGCTCAGACTGTTGCTGGGCACACCACGCACTGTGAGCCCTTGGGGAGAAGAGAGGAGGGGAGGGTAGGGGTGGGTTACTGGGGATGATTGAGTGGACGAGAGGGGTGGAGGGAAGGGCGGTTGGAGGGGATTGTGGAGCAGAGGAGAGGAGTGGAAGTAGGGAGAGAGGAATGTCGAGGAGGGATTGAAACGTGGAGAGCATAGGACGGAAGGGAAGCAGGGATGTGTGTGTGTGAGAGAGAGAGAGGGGGGGTTGTGGTGAGGAGGACACAGAGGGAAGGAGGCATGGGATGAAAAGAGAAGTTGGTTCAAGAACGTAGAGTAAACTCTTGGGAACCATCGTGTCATCATGTCGTCACACCATCATGTGACTGTGTAATCATTCCATCACACTATCATGGGACTGTGTCATCATGCCATCCTGTCACCATGCCATCATTTCATCATGTTGTATTATCATACCATCATGTCATCATGTGGTGTTATCATGCCATTGTGCCATGTCATCATGTCCTCGTGCCATCATGTCCTCGTGTTCTCATGTCATGGCGGGCCTCCATTTGACCCCAATATCATACCACCCCATTCCACCACCAGCAGTCACAGCAGGCGGGGGGAAGGACAAGGCAAGCCTATTGGAGCTAGCAAGGCAGGACGACCATGCACTCGCTGCAGCAGCGCAGCAGTTGAGCCAGCAGCAGGTGAGGCCGAGTAGGGTAATGTGTAGCGGGCAAGATGCTGTGGAATAGTGCTGGAGGCAGGCAGGCAGGGGTGAGGCAGTCAATGGCATGCAAGGCGGCCTGATCTAGCAACGCAGGACGACCATGCACTCGCTGCAGCAGCGCAGCAGTTGAGCCAGCAGCCGGTGAGATGGAGTGGAGAAATGCATATCAGGCAAGGGCAATCTTTCGTCCCCCCCCGTTTCTTGCCTTGACTCTCTGCTGCACACGTGCTCTCTGCTGCACACGTGCTCTCTGTTGCACACGTGCTCTCTGCTGCACACGTACTCTCTGCTGGAATTGTGCTCCCTGCTTAAAATGCGCTCCTTACCACCCATTCCTTCCTGTGGGTGTGTGTGCGCATGCCTGCAGGCGTCTCAGCTTGAGCCAGCACATGCTGATACTGCCAGTAGTCACTCTCGTGCTGCTTGCAATGTGTTCCTTACCACCCGTTTTTTTTTCTCTCTCTGTGTGTGCACATATGCCTGCAGGTCGAGTTAGCACATGCCGATACTGCCAGCAGTCACGATGCTGCTGCTGGCAGTGGCGCCACTGCTGCTGCTACTGCGGAAGGAGGTGCTACCGCTGCTGCTGCTGCTGTGGGCGAGGAGGCAGGCAGAGAAGCAGGACAGGGGGGGCAGGCGTATCCTGATAAAGTGCTGCAGCCATTCCCTTGGAGGGAGCATCAGCAGCATTTGCCTGAGAGGGAGCCGCAGCCATTCCCTGAGAGGGAGCATAAGCAGTACCCTGAGAAAGTGCCGCATGGTAGTGGTGTGTTTGGGGTGGGGGGGGTGGTTGGTGATCGGCAGGGGGGCGGAGAGGAGGAGAAGGCTGAGGTGAAGGGGAGTTTTGGGCACGGGAAGGAGGATGCGGATGAGGATGGGAAGGATGATGATGAGGGTGACGAGGAGAAGGATGAGAAGGAGGAGAAGGGTGAGAAGGATGTGGGAGGGAAGAGTGAGAGTGAGCGTAAGGGAGATGAGGAGGAGAGAGAGGAGGGGAGTGGGGGAGGGGAGGGAGGAGGCAAGAGGGAGAAGAAGGCAGGGGATAAGAGTGAGAGCGAAGATGAGGAGGAGGGGAGGATGATGAAGATGATGACGAGGAGGATGGTGGTGGGCAGGAAGGGAAGAAGGGGCGCAGAGAGGCAGGTACGGGCAGTGGGAAGAAAGGGGATGAGGAGGAGGGGGCGAAGGAGGATGAAGAGGAGGAGAAGGAGGAGAAGGAGGGGAGAGAGGAAGAGGAGGCAAGGGAGGAGGAGGAGGGCTCGCATGGCAGTGGAGAAGGAGCAAGGGAGGAGTACGAAGGGGCTGGCCCTGCAGATGACAGTGGTGCTGGTGACAGTGCTGGAGACGGTGGTGGTGATGTTGGTGGGGAGAGTGGCAGCAGCGGGGGTGGGGAGGCGGCTGGGGAGAGTGTGGGTTCGCCTGAGCAGCAGTCGATTGCTGCCAAGGAAGTGGTGAGACATTCCCATTCTTTTGCCGCATCACCTCCTTCTCATCTTCACATGCTCGCCCTTCACTTCACCCCTCGCCTGTCGCTCCTAGCCCTTCACCTCTTTGCCTCCCTTCCCTCACTTCCCCATTGCTCCTCTCAAAAGCGGAGGCGGCATGCGAGCTCGTGAGACGAGGAGGGGTGTCGGGGGCGCACAGTGTTCATACACAAAATGCCTCTCTTTTTTCCCGTCTCCCCTCTCCCCTTCTCCGCATCCCCTCCTCTTTCCTCCCTAATCTGCTCCCTTGCCCAGAAAGCGGAGGCGGCAGCGGTGGCAGTGGACCCGGTGGGAGAGCCGATAGACGTGGAGGGGTGTCGGGGGCGGGTGGTGTTCATTCACAAGCTGGCTCAGGCGTACAACCGCGGGCTCGTGGAGCAGTGCGCCACGCTGCTGCCCTGGTTCTCCATCTGCCCGCACTTCCAGGTGCGCCCCTTGTGTGCCTGTGTGGAGTTTGTACGGATGTATGGGCGTTGAAGGGTATGGGATGGGTGTCCAGGGTTGTTGCACATGCGTGGAGAGCAGTGTGCCTCCCTGCTCCCCTGGGTCTCCATCTGCCCGCACTTCCTTCCAGGTGCGTGCATGTTTGGGGGCGTTGAGGGGTGTAAGGATGCATGCGGCTGTGAACGCATGAGCCTTGTGACTCCACACTTGTTGTGACTCTTCAACCAATCGTGCACGCCGAGCTGTGTGTGGACCATCGTTTCTGCTCTCACCTCACGTCCCATGCATAACTGTGTGCACGCCCCTGTATGCATTTCCACTTCCGTGTTCTCCCGTGTGCGTCAACCCCTGGGTGCATGCAGAACGATGGTTTGGGCAATCGGATTCGCAACAGCAAGCTGCTTCTACCCTCTGGCCGATGGTTCGAGACGCACATGGTACGCACTCGCTGCACTGCACCGCACCGCACCGCACTGCAGCGCACCACAATGTGCATCCTCTTCCACACGGATCAGCTCTGAAATGCACATTCTGATATCTTTTCCCGGCAAGGCGTACAAGTGCGTCACAAACGACCCTGACAGGGCAAACCACTTCTTCATCCCTCCGCGTCTCCCCTGCCACATCCCCATACACTCCACCTCGTCTTCATCTTGTCTCTCACTCACTCCCCTCTCGCCCTCCCAGCCCAGTACGCCGTGGATATGGTGCAACCCTGACAGGGCGGACCTGTTCCTCATACCCTTTCTCTCTTGCCTCGCCCCTCACTGTGTGCCTCCCAGTACGCCCTGGAGATGGTGTTTCACTACCGCCTGCGCAAGGCATACAAGTGCATCACCAGCGACCCAGACAAAGCGGATCTCTTCTTCATCCCCTTCTACGCGTCGCTGGACGTCACCCGCTGGCACTTTGCCAAGAATGCGTCTCTGGACGACCGGGACCGCATGCACGATGGGCTCGCCAAGTGGTTGATGAGAAGGGAGCACTTCAAGGTGTGAAGTGGTTAGGGGGTACGGTATGGTATGTGGTGGCATAGCCTGCTCTGCTCTGTGTGTCGTCGAACGCGTCTCTGGACGACCGTCGACCGTGACTGCATGCACGATGGGCTCGCCAAGTGGCTCATGAGGAGAGAGCACTTCAAGGTACGTGCTACAGTGCTAGCGCACAGAGGGGCGCAGAGCTCGTGGGACTTACCGGCGGTGAGAGGGGTGGCAGATCCTGGTGGTGCAGCACACTTGCAATGCTTCCGTGTTCTTCCTTGCTGTTCCGCAGAAATGCAACGGAGCGGACCACTTCATAGTGCTGGGGCAGAGCTCGTGGGACTACCGGCGGTGAGAGGGGGTCCCGGGTCTCAGTGGTGTGGCACTCGTGTGCCTTTTGTGTTCTCATTCTGTTCTCTGCAGAGGCGCAACGGAGCGGACCACTTCATCGTGTTGGGACAGGGCTCGTGGGACTTCAGGCGGTCAGAGGGGTCGCAGTGGGGCAACCGCCTGCTGCTGCTGCCCGAGATGAAGCACGTGAGTGGCAAGCAGGAGGGAAGGTCGCAGCCTTATTGTTCCTTTCTTAAGCGGAGACTCGGGCGGTCAGAGAGGTCACATTGGGGTAAGCGGCTGCTCTGCTGCAGCTGCCGGAGATGGAAACACGAGTGGGGAGGAGGAGGAGGAGGAAGGAAGAAGAGAAGAGGGGAAGAAGAGGGTTTGTGGGATTTGAAAGCTTTTCTCTGCAGTATCCTGCACTCACAAATCAGCACTTACCCTCCCATTATTGCTCCTTGCTTAAACAAGCCTTGACGCATTCCTTGTGTAAAATCCTTCTCCTCACAAATGACGAAACTGGTGCTGGCAGCTAACCTGTGGGAATAGAGTAGACAGACATCGGCATCCCCACTCTCAATCTTTGCTGTCACATTCACGTTCACACCGCATAGTGTCCCTGAGAGAACGCCATCCCCATTGTCCCGTGTGTTCCTCAAATCACAGGTGACCAAGCTGGTGCTGGCAGCTAACCTGTGGGAAGAGACGGAAATCGGCATCCCCCCTCTCACCTTCTTCCACCCGCGCTGGGAGAAGGACTACAAGGTGAGAAGCACGGGGTAGAAGGCGGTTCAATGGCCTACAAGGTGAGAAGCACGGGGTAGAAGGCGGTTCAATGGCCTACACGGGTGGGAAGCCATGGCCGCTGCAATGTTACACACAAATGAGCAATCTGTCAAGCGAAAGGAAAGGCAGGGATAACGGGATACCAGGGGATACCAGGGGATAACAGGGGATAACAGGGGACCAGTGTTAGCAGCTCAGCTCAGGGGGTGTGGTGCATGGCTGGACACAGAATCGCCAGGATATTCACATCTTCAGGCATTTTCCCAGACTCGTGTATTCTCGCGCCCACCATTCCACTCCACCCACCACCCCTCTCTCACAGTGCAGGCGTGGCAGCAGCACACAGCATGATCACATCCTCGTACCCCACTCACTCACTCACTCACTCACTCACGTATCACACGCCATCACACTCGCTCACCATCTAGCTCACCATCTAGCTCACCATCTAGCTCACCATCTAGCTCACCACCCCTCTCACCACCCTACTCACCGTGCAGACATGGCAGCGCATAGCAGAGTCGCACCGACGCACGTCGCTGGCGGCGTTTGCATCACTGAGAGACGCGTTCAGCAAGCACAACAAGGTGCTGGGGCGGCAGTGCAAGAAGGCCAAGGTGTGCCGGTGAGTGCGAGTGTGTGTGGGGTGATGGAAACGCGTGGATCAGGACAGCAAGAAGTGAATCAGGCTTGACAGTGGCCGTGTGCATCAGAGGAGTTCTTTCAGCAAGCTCAACAAGGCAGTGGGGCGCGAGTGCAAGCACAGCAAGGAGTTCCAGTGAGTTGAGCGATCCATTCTCGTTCTCTTCTCTTCATATGAGCCACTATGTACCTGTGAGTCTCACCATCATGGGAGTGCCTATGTGAGTCTCACCATCATGGGAGTGCCTACGTGAGTCTTACTTCATTCCGTCAGCCCGTTCCGTTTTTTCCCTTATCCCCATCATCCACCACATTCAAGTGGAGTGGGGCGTGGAAAACATCTGCATGCGCCCTGAGGTCCCTATGCCCTTTGCCGTGCTTTGAACTATCCTCTATCTCAACCTCTTCCACCAACAAGGGCCCATTCTCGTCTCCTCCCCTCACCACCCACCACGTGCTTCCAGTGTGGCGGAGGAGGACATCTGCACGCGCCCAGAGGTGCCCATGGATCTCTCCACCGGTGCCGGCACCTCCAAACCCCTCACTACCCCTCACCACTGCAGATACCTCGAGTGTGTGGAGGACATCTGCACGCGCCCAGAGGTGCTCATGGATCTATTCACCGATGCTGCCTTCTGCCTCATCCCATCGGGCCACACTGGCGCCCGCAGAGCCGCCTTCGACGCCATCGTGGCCGGCTGCATCCCCGTCTTCCTCGACTCCTTTGTTCCCTCCCAGGTGCGCTGAGCATAGGTGCGCTTTCAGGTGCGCTGAGCATAGGTGAACTTTCAGGTGCGCTGTACAGTGCATCCCCGTCTTCCTCGACTTCTTCGTGCCCTCCCAGGTGAGCTATTGGTAACCTGAGTGTAGGTGTCCTCTCAGGTGTGCTGTACATGTGTTTGTTGACCCCGCAAAGCTGCCTTCGACGCCATCGTGGCCGGCTGCATCCCCGTCTTCCTCGACCCCTTCCTGCCCTCCCAGGTGATTGCTGCATACAAAATATGAGCTGGGCGCAGAATTTTTGTGCCCTCCCAGTTGACGCTGAGTCTGTGCATGTGACACCTACCCTCCAACAGCCGCAGCTACTCAGTGACCATTATGATTGTGTTGTCTTTTACCTCCCTTTTCCTGTCGAACCCCCTCCCCCCTTCCTCCCGCTTCCCTGCTTCCCCTGCAGCACAGGTGCAAGTTGCATGTATCCTTCAACAGCAGAAACTATCCAAATGCTACAGTTTCTTGTCTCCCCTTCTTCCCTTTCCGTCCAGTCCCCTCCCTCCCCCTCTGTCCCATGCAGCAGCTACTCCGTCACTTGGCATGATTGATCATTCTATCCCTCCCTCCATCCGTCCCTCTCCCAACCGTCCCCTCTCCCTGCGTCACGGTACAAGTGGCACCTGCCCGCCAACAGCAGCACCTACTCGGTGACATGTAATGATGATTAGCTTTTGAGAATTTTCGACAGTGATTATGTTGTCCCTTCCTCCCTCCATCCCTCGCCTCTCCTCTTCACCACACTCCTTGCTGCGCAGTACAAGTGGCACCTGCCCGCCAACAGCAGCACCTACTCGGTCACTCTGAGTGAGAATGCGGTGCTGTCAGGGAGGGTTGACATCATGAAGGAGCTCCTGAAGATTCCAGGAAAGGAGGTAAGGAGGGGCATGGGGAGCCCCCTGTATGTGCGTGGTTTAATGTGTCCCAGTGTTGTTGCCCTTTGTAAATACACAAGCTCACAGTGCTGTGCTCGTACAGTGTATTTGTGGTATCTTATCTTATCTGCAAGCAACCATTATGCATATGCGTGGCACTGTTGCACGTGCAACTGAGGAGCTTGTACATCTGCATTCAACAACATACACAGCGTCTATGGTCCACAACCAAAAGTCTATGTATCCCATGCAGCACAGGCGAGACACCTTTGATATTGCCCTCCCCTCTTTCCCTCCCACTTAGCCTCACCCATCCCTTCCCCCTTCGGCCTTCCCTTCCCCACCCTCTCTAGGCGTGGCGCAAGCGGTTGACAATCATAAGAACGGTCATGCCGTCAGAGGTGTACAAGCACCATCATGTGTTTGTCATGCCATCAGAGGTGTACAAGCACCATCATGTGTTTGTCATGCCATCACAGGTGTACAAGCACCATCATGTGTTTGTCATGCCATCAGAGCTGTACAAGCACCATCATGTGTTTGTCATGCCATCAGAGCTGTACAAGCACCATCATGTGTTTGTCATGCCATCAGAGCTGTACAAGCACCATCATGTGTTTGTCATGCCATCAGAGCTGTACAAGCACCATCATGTGTTTGTCATGCCATCAGAGCTGTACAAGCACCATCATGTGTTGGTCATGGAGGAGAGGCGAGACACCTTTGATCTCGCCCTCCTTCCTTTCCCTCCCCATTACTCTCCCCATTACTCTCCCCATTACTCTCCCCATTACTCTCCCCATTACTCTCCCCATTACTCTCCCCATTACTCTCCCCATTACTCTCCCCATTACTCTCCCCATTACTCTCCCCATTACTCTCCCCATTACTCTCCCCATTACTCTCCCCATTACTCTCCCCATTACTCTCCCCATTACTCTCCCCATGACTCTCCCCATGACTCTCCCCATGACTCTCCCCATGACTCTCCCCATGACTCTCCCCATGACTCTCCCCATGACTCTCCCCATCACTCTCCCCATCACTCTCCCCATCACTCTCCCCATCACTCTCCCCATCACTCTCCCCATCGTCACTCTCCCCATCGTCACTCTCCCCGTCGCCACTCTCCCCATCGCCACTCTCCCCATCGCCACTCTCCCCATCGCCCCTCTCCCCATCGCCCCTCTCCCCATCGCCACTCTCCCCATCGTCACTCTCCCCATCGCCCCTCTCCCCATCGCCCCTCTCCCCATCGCCCCTCTCCCCATCGCCCCTCTCCCCATCGCCACTCTCCCCATCGCCACTCTCCCCATCGCCACTCTCCCCATCGCCCCTCTCCCCCTCGCCCCTCTCCCCCTCTCCCCCGTCATCCCTCTCCCCGTCATCCCTCTCCCCCCCACTCCTCTCCCCATCACTCTCCCCATCACTCTCCCCATCATCACTCTCCCCATCATTACTCTCCCCATCATTACTCTCCCCATCATCACTCTCCCCATCATTACTCTCCCCATCATTACTCTCCCCATCATTACTCTCCCCATCATTACTCTCCCCATCATTACTCTCCCCATCATTACTCTCCCCATCATTACTCTCCCCATCATTACTCTCCCCATCATTACTCTCCCCATCATTACTCTCCCCATTACTCTCCCCATTACTCTCCCCATTACTCTCCCCATTACTCTCCCCATTACTCTCCCCATTACTCTCCCCATTACTCTCCCCATTACTCTCCCCATTACTCCCACTTTCACTCTCTCTAGGTGTGCGAATGCGGTTGAAAATCATATGAGAAGCGGGGGTCTACAACCGCCATCGCATACACCCCTTTTCCCTCCCCCTTCCCCTCCCACATTCACTCCTTTCACCTTTCCTTCTCAACGCGTTTGCCCGTTGGCTCTAGGTGCGGAGGATGTGGTTGAAGATCATAAGGGAGGTGATGCCAGCAGTGGTGTACAACCATCCACGCATGTATCCCATGGAACACAAGCGAGATGCCTTTGATATTGCCCTCCCCTTCTTCCTTGCCCTTTAACCTCCCCATGCACACTCTTTCTAGGTGCGGCGAATGCGGTTGAAGATCATAAGGGAGGTGATGCCAGCAGTGGTGTACAACCATCCACGCATGTACCCCATGGAACACAAGCGAGATGCCTTTGATATTGCCATGGAGGAGGTGGTGAGGCGAGTGCAGCGTAACAAGCAGGCAGCTGCTGCAGCCTGAGACTGCTGGGGTTTTATTTGTTGCTGGTTACCACGTTTGTACAATGTAGATGATGTATGAACAAAGAAAGGCAAGACCTAGTACCTCATTATTGTGCTTCGGTATTGACTGACTCAGAGGGAAGATGGCATGGCACATGGCACATGCACTTAAGACAGCTGTTGGGGATCCAGCTAGTGAGTTTGGTTCCAATGTTGTTTATCCACTAGAAGAAATGAGGGTGAAGAAATAAAGGATGGGATCCAGAGAGAAGTAGGGGGCTAGAAAGGCACATTTTATCAAGTACGGTACCAGTTATTGCATTTTTCACATGTACATTGTATCTTCATACCGAAACTTGTTTCACATGATGGGGACCCTTAATTTGTACGGTGTTTTCCACGTTTTACACCCACCCCATTACTTGACCAGTGACCATTGCTGTCATTTTAGAATTAAATGAATGATTCATAGTAGTCTAACATCTACACTGCAATTGCTCAAATACGGAAGCTGTATTCGTAATCGCAGCAATTACAAACGAGTCCTAAGCTTGTCCCTGTGCGGTACACGTTTTGGGCCGTCAGTTGGGAATGGCTTTCCTGCCTAGTTGGCAGTCGGCCTTGCCCCACGGGGCCCACAGCTTTCCACCTATGGCCGCCAGGCTCCCACTCCAGGCGATTCTGATGGAAAGCTGGGATTCAGACACTGTGCAACACCCCAATTCTTTCACCACACACCGCCGAATTCCACCACGAGTTTCGTAAGCTACAAACATTATGGCGTGCGTACGTACGTCCACGTGAATCCCTCCAAGTGTTTTGCTCCTTATGAAACGAGCCATCAGGCCCCAACAACTTGGGATCTTTCCGAACCGAACATGACGTTTCCAAACCTCGCACCAAGCTGTGAAGGCCAGAGCCAGAACACCGCCGTGGAAGTCTTCTCGCTAAAACTCGCAAACTGCGACATTTAAGTTACCACGCTCGCGACTTTCGAACCTCGCAGGTCCAGGCCTCAGGCTGGCTGGCTGGCTCTTGGGTTTCAGAAACGACCACCACCGCAATCAAGAGAAGAGAACCCTTCACGTACGTACGGTACGGTTCGCTGCACCATCTGTACAGCGCACGTACCACCTAAACAAGGCGCACGTACCACCTAAACAGGCAATGCAGGGCCATCGTGGGTTCGAACCCACCAGATGCGCGAGCTGGCGGAAGCGAACTGGCCGGGGCAAAAAGACTAAACCCCTATCGGGCTCCATGCCGTTCGGGTCGGGAGGCATCATCCCAAGGGTTGATGCCTCCCGAATGGCATGCCTTCCGAGCGGGTTTTAGTTTTTTTTGCCCGCGGGCAGACAGCTTCCGCTAGCGGGCTGAAGCGATCGCGCATTCGCCCGTGTTTTCACTGTTTCAGCGCGTATGAAGCTTTGAGGAGACTTCAGCCATGGCGGTTTCAAACTCCAATTGACCGTCCGTGTTCGACGCTTGTTCGTGCAGCAGTGGCAGCTTGTCAGCTTGCCATCTTTGCTGGCTCGCTAGTTGCCTCTATCCGTCTGACAGAACTCAACAGTGCTTGGTTTTCCCCCAACCTAATTCCAAGTTCCTCCAAAACCAGAGTTAGCTACATCGACGACCAGTGACAATATACATTTCCTCATATTGCGTTCCCAGCTTTCACTCGCGCGGATATGGTAATCGCCGCTGCTCGTTCCGCCAAAGTCATGCCCGCACCTACAAGAATTCCTCTTAAATGATCTCGTCCATTCTCTTACGAGTGATCACCCGTTGCTTGATGTCCCAAAACTGCCTCAACTATCCCACAGATGGTTTAGAGGCCACTAGAAGCACCACATTGCAACCACTAACCTAGGAAACCCGTATCAAGTGTCCCTACACTTGAAATTGGCTCGTTCGAGGGCTTTAAGATGCAGTACCACTCGGAGCAGTCCTCGGGGCTCCCCCCGCACAAGAGCGGCAGCCGCCGGCGCGCAACGGTCGCATCGGTAAGTCCGCTTGAGCTGCGCCTGCAGGAGTTTCACATGGTCGGGGGAAGCGGAATCGGGGGAGGCGGAATCGGGGGAGGCGGAATCGGGGGAAGCGCGATTGAGCGCGGAAGCAGCAAACATGTAGGGTCCGGCGTGGGTGTAGGGTTACCCGTTCGCAGTGCTTCGCCGCAAAGTGTCGCCAACCACGCGGAGTCGCCCGGGCACATGTCGGACGGGCGCGGCTCCAGCAGCCACTCGAGCCACGAGGGGCGGCGGCGGCGGAAATCGTCGGATAACGTTGCCGTCGAGGCGCGGACCGCGTTGACCGGTCTTAGCCTTACCGGCTTAAGCGGCGGGTACGGGGCGGTCCCTACGGGCACGGGGAACAGCACGAGCGGCGGCGGGGGGCGAAGCAGAAGCGGCGCAATTGGCAGCGCGGCGAGACAGCCGACGCTGGAGTCGATGCGAAATGGGGTTAACAACTGCAGCAACAGCAGCAGTATCAATAGCGTCGTCGACCCGCGATTGCCGCTGGTTAATACGCCGGACTCCATACCGTCAGATGCGGACAAGCCGCGCTTCCTTTCGAAGCCAGCCGCGAACGCGGCGCAATTCACGCCGGGGAGCGCGGAGCTAGCGGCGGCGGCGGCGGCTTTGGCGGCCGCTGCCGGCGGAGTCGCGTACTGCAAGCCGCGGTACCAGTTCTGCCCGAATTGCGGGTTTCAGCTGGTAGAAAACCCGATAATAGAGCCCATCTTAAAGCCCATTGTACCCGCTATGGCGGAGGCAGAGACGGATTCGGAACAAGACTGCGACGACGACGCGAGCGAGGTATCTGTGCCACGTGTCAAAGCGCCGTTGGCGAACGCCAAGGCGAAAAGCAAGAAGGGGAAGAGCCGCACGGGGGGGGGAACTGTGGCGCACAGCCACGCGGAAAAGGAAAGGCCGCGCAGCAGACGGTCTTCCGCGGATCATAGCAGCAGCGGCGGGGGGGACTCCGACTTCGGCGGAACCGGCGGAGCGGGCGGAGCTTCCGCCGCCGCGGGGAGGGCGGGAAGCGACGCGGAAGAGCCGGGCGCGCGGAGGCCGCCCGCCGCGTTTCCCCCTTCCGCGTCTTCCGCGGGGAAGGAGATCGAGGGGAGCCGCATGGACCGCCTGAGGGCGCCGGAGGTGGGGCAGCGGCAGGTGCTCCGCCACATGGAGAAGGGCGGCGGAGCGGGCGCGGGCGGCGGAAAGGGGCGCCATCGGCGCATCGGGAGCGTTGATCACAACATCTATTCCGCCGCCATGCCGCTCACGAAGGGGCGGCTGGCGGGCGGAGCGGGCGCAGCGGCGGGGAGGGATCAGGGTTACGGGGGATGGGCGGAAGCGGGCGCGGGCGCGGATGCGGAGGGAGGAGGGATGGGCGCGGGGCGCGCGGGAATGAGGGGGATAGCGTCCCCCGTTCAGGAGGATGACGGGGAGGGGACGGAGCGCAGCTCGCCGACGGAATCCGTCGCGTTTTCTGACGTGTCCGCGGCTACGGGGCGCGACGCGCCGGTTGGCAGCGCGATAGGCGGCGCGAGCGCCGTCAGCGCCGCGATTTCCGCCCACAGAAAGCGGCTCGGGATTGGAGGAGACGGGGGGAGCGAGAGGGGGAGCGAGCGGGGGAGCGAGAGGGGGAGCGTGGCGGGTTCCCCCAGGGGGGAGCCTAGAGGCGCAGGGTCTCCGCGGAAATCCGCTATAGGGCTGAAGAAGCTGCAGCTAAGAGTGGATATCGGGGCAGATGATAGCGGGGATGAGGGCAGGGAGGTCAAACTGGTGGCGGTAGGACCCCCCGCGGGGAAGACAGGGGGAGGGGGGATGGGGGGAGAAGGGGCAGGGGGAAGCGGAGCAGGGGGGATGGGGAGAGGAGTGCGGGGGGTGGCGGGGATAGGGTCCGTGAAAGAGAGGTCTGGGCTGAGGAGGGAGGGTAGTGTGGTGAGAGGGGTTGTGGGGGGTGGTGGGATGGGTGGAGGAGCCTTGGGAGCAGCAGCAGCAGCAGCAGCAGCAGGGACGGCTGTAGCAGCAGCAGCAGGAGGAGGGGGCATCCCAGCGGTAGCTGTAGCCCCAGTGACTGTAGCGCCAGTGACTGTAGCGCTAGCGGCGGTGGCTGTAGCGGGTCCTGTAGCGGCGCTACAGAAGGGGGCGCACCGGCGCATCTCGTCGTGGGTGGACGGCGGCAGCCTGCGGCACACAGACTTCATCCTGCGCAAGCCGTACCGCGATGTGACCGAGGTGTTTGACGTGCAAGAGGAGGAGCTGGGCGTGGGGCAGTTCGGGGTGATCCGGTCGTGTGTCAATAGGGTTACTGGCGCGCTGCTGGCATGCAAGACCATCAGCAAGGAGCGCATTGTGGTGAGTGCTTGCTTGCTTGTAGGGGAGGACGGAGAGGGGAAGGGTAGATTGAGGTGACGTGACGGAGGTGCTTGAGGTCCAGGACGAGGAGCTGCAGGTGGGGCAGTTCGGGGTGATCAGATCGTGCGTCAATCGGATGACTGGTGCGCTGCTGGCATGCAAGACCATCAGCAAAGAGCGCATTGTGGTGAGTGCCTGCTTGCTCGTAGGGGGCGAAGGGAGGGAGGCAGGGCAGGGAGGGGTAAGTCAGGTGACGTGACGGAGGTCCTTGCGGTCCAAGAAGAGGAGCTGGGGGTGGGGCAGTTCGGGGTGATCAGATCGTGCGTCAATCGGATGACTGGTGTGCTGCTGGCGTGCAAGACCATCAGCAAGGAGCGCATTGCGGTGAGTGGGAGGGTGAGTGGGAGGGTGAGATGGGATGGGTTGGATTTGGTGCTCACGTGTGAATAGGGTGGCAGAGGTGCTGCTGATGGAGACGTGTTAAAAGTTGGGTTCTGAGACGTCTTAAAGCCCAACTTTTATCGTGTGGTTGGGAGGGTGGGATGGGATGGGTTGGATCGAGGTGCTCGCGTGTAAATAGAGTGACCTACTGGGGCGCTGCTGCTGGCGTGCAAGTCCATGAGCAAGGAGCGCATTGTGGTGAGTGGGGGGTTCGTAGGGTGGAGAACGAGGACTATTATTAAGTTGGTTGGACTGCCGCATTTTGTCCCATCTTTGAAATGAACCCAAGAACCCATCTTCGTGTTGAAATGAACTAAGCGGAGTGTGCTGCTGTTGGATGGGGTGACTTTTGAGGCACTCAAAAGTCGCCTCAATAGGTAGGGAGGAGCGGAGCTGGGTGTGCTGCTGACGGATGGGTGGGAGATTGGGGTTGAGGGCGTGAGATGGATTGTGCGTTGCCGTGGGTTTGGGGGTTTTGTTTGGAAGTGTGGTTTTGAGGGTGTGGTTTTGAGGGTGTGGTTTTGAGACGTCTTAAAAACGAGAGATAGGTTTTGCGTTGGTGTGGGTTTGGGTGGGGGTGTGGGATGGATCGGAGGGGGAGGGTATGGCCCTTATCGAATCAAGCGAGTATGGTAACCAACCGGGGTGTGATGGGGACTGGCTGGGCGTGGCCCAGAGAGGGAAGGGCGTGACATGGAGGAATGAGTATGGTAACAGTGGCCGCGCTAGGGTTTGTTTGTTTTGTGCGCACCGAGCAGGTGTGAAAGAAGCACCTTTGAAGCGTTTTCGCAACGATGAACTGGTGCAATGACAAGGGAAGTATAACTGGCAACTTTTGAGTCCACTCAAAAGTCACAAGGGAAGTGTTAGTGGCTGGCAGCAAGCATGTTTGAGTGTTAGTGACGCAATGCAGGCATGGGGCAGGCAAAGACATGGCATGGGACTGACTGACTGCCATGCCATACATGCTGTGTGCACCGATCTAACATGCTTCCCGACCATGTGACTGACTGACCGCCATGCCATACATCTTTGGTTGTATGTATGCCATGATGACATGCGAGACCGCCATGATGCAGGTCTTGTAGTCTCTATGATGTCTTGTAGTCTCTATGATGTCTTGTAGTCTCTATGATGTCTCGAGGACTAGGAATGCAAGGAGGTGCAGCTGATGCAGCAACTGGTGCAGTGTCCCCTCATGGCATGCGGATATGCCTGTGTCCTCACTCACAGCTCTCCATGTGCCATGTCGACCCCACCGCACCCCACCCAACCCCACCACTGCAGTGTCCCAAGGACGCGGAGGATGTGCGCATGGAGGTGCAGCTGATGCATGGCATGGCATATTGTTGATGGGCATGTGCCCCCCTCCCCTCCCTCTCACTGCAGTGCCCGGAGTCCTCACTCACGCAGAGGACGTTTGCAATGAGGTGCAGCAGCTGATGCAGCAGCTGATGCAGCAGCTGATGCAGCAGTGTCCCCGTGGCATGCTGATATGCCTGTGCCCCCACTCATAGCTCTCCATTTGCCATGTTGACCCTCCCCACCCCGCCCCACCGCACTGCACCACTGCAGTGTCCCGAGGACGCAGAGGACGTGCGGAAGGAGGTGCAGCTGATGCAGCAGCTGAGGGGGCACCCCAACATCATCGACCTCTATGAGACGTTTGAGGACAGCAAGGTGAGACGAGTGTGGTTAGGGCGTGTGCGTGGTGGGGTAGGAGTCGAACGGTGGTTGGGTGGATTAACAAGGGCTGGTTGAGGGCAGCAGCTGAGGGGGCACCGCAACATCATTGACCTCTATGAGACGTTTGAAGACAGCAAGGTGAGCTGAGGTACCCACGACACCCCACCCCACCACCCCACCCCACCCCACCCCTCCCCACCCCAATATCATTGACCTCTATGAGACTTTTGAAGACAGCAAGGTGAGCTGAGGGTGGGGTATCTAGTTGTGAGGCACCTCAAAACTAGACGAGGGTGGGGTAGGAGTTGAACTGTAAGTAGTAGAGGTACCTCACCCCACCCCACCCCACCCCACCCCACCCTCCCCACCCACCCCAACATCATCGACCTCTATGAGACGTTTGAAGACAGCAAGGTGAGGCGTGGTGTGGTGGGGGTTGAATGGTATGTAGACACACCCAGCCCACCCCACCCTACCCCTTTACTGCCACTTTAGAGCCCTTTCTCCACCCCTCTCCACCTCTCTCCACCTTCCCTTGTCACCCTCCCCCCCAACCCCCCCACCCTCAACACGTGCACCTGGTGATGGGAGATCTGCAAGGGCGGGGAGCTTCAATGCCCCTTTAGTGCCCTCTTTCTGCCTGTCTCCACCCCTCTCCACCTCTCTCCACCTTCCCTTGTCAACCTCCCTTCCCCTCCCCCAAAACCCCCCCACCCTCAACACGTGCACCTGGTGATGGAGATATGCAAGGGCGGGAAGCTGTTCGACCGCATCAAGCTAAGGGGGCAGTGCAGCCAGCGCACTCCAGGCTAGGAAGGCTGTGTGTACGCGTGTGTGTGTGTGCTTCCGAATCCCACTCTCCCTCCTTCTCCTCATCGCCCCCTTGTGCCATTTCTCTCTTTCTCCCCACCCTCCCTCTCCCCCTTCCCCCGCCTCCCCAGCACGTGCACCTGGTGATGGAGATCTGCAAGGGCGGGGAGCTGTTTGATCGCATCAAGTTGAGGGGGCAGTACAGCGAGCGCAGCGCGGCGCTCGTGTGTCAGACGCTGGTCGAGGCGCTGCTGTACTGCCACTCCAACGGCATCGCCCACCGCGACGTGAAGCCGGAGAACATTCTCTTAATGCACAAAGACGACGACACCAACATAAAAGTCATTGACTTTGGTGTCGCTACGCGGTTCAGGCATGGTGAGTGACGTCAACGGATATGAACATTGGTGTGCTGGAATGAAATGGAATGGCATGTAATGGCATATAATGGCGTGGAGTGGCATATAATGGCGTGGGGTGGCATATAATGGCGTGGAGTGGCATATAATGGCGTGGAGTGGCATATAATGGCGTGGAGTGGCATGGAGTGGCGTGGAATGGAGTGGAATTGCATGGAATGGCATCGCATTCCATAGCATGCCATTGTGGGCTCGTGGAGGCGCTGCTCTCTCTACTGCCACTCCAACGGCATTGCCCACCGCTCATGCACAAGGATGATACGAATTTCAAAGTCTTCGACTTTGATGTCGCCACGCGGTTTCGTCATGGTGAGCGAGTGCTATGTGCTATGTGGTTCTAACTTGTATGTGCATTGCATGTGACATGGTGGGTCTGAATGGTTGTAGTATGGGTCTCATATGTAACATGGATTGATCCAACCTTACAGTCCTTAATGACTTGGAAAGGGAATGACCTGGCATTCTGCACACACTCTGCCGTGTGAACCCAGGGAGCATCCCTTTTCTCCTCCCATCCCTCTCCTCCCTCTCCTCCCTCTCCTCCTCCCTCTCCTCCCTCTCCTCCCTCTCCTCCCTCTCCTCCCTCTCCTCCCTCTCCTCCCTCTCCTCCCTCTCCTCCCTCTCCTCCCTCTCCTCCCTCTCCTCCCTCCTCCTCCCTCTCCTCCCTCTCCTCCCTCTCCTCCCTCTCCTCCCTCTCCTCCCTCTCCTCCCTCTCCTCCCTCTCCTCCCTCTCCTCCCTCTCCTCCCTCTCCTCCCTCTCCTCCCTCTCCTCCCTCTCCTCCCTCTCCTCCCTCTCCTCCCTCTCCTCCCTCTCCTCCCTCTCCTCCCTCTCCTCCCTCTCCTCCCTCTCCTCCCTCTCCTCCCTCTCCTCCCTCTCCTCCCTCTCCTCCCTCTCCTCCCTCTCCTCCCTCTCCTCCCTCTCCTCCCTCTCCTCCCTCTCCTCCCTCTCCTCCCTCTCCTCCCTCTCCTCCCTCTCCTCCCTCTCCTCCCTCTCCTCCCTCTCCTCCCTCTCCTCCCTCTCCTCCCTCTCCTCCCTCTCCTCCCTCTCCTCCCTCTCCTCCCTCTCCTCCCTCTCCTCCCTCTCCTCCCTCTCCTCCCTCTCCTCCCTCTCCTCCCTCTCCTCCCTCTCCTCCCTCTCCTCCCTCTCCTCCCTCTCCTCCCTCTCCTCCCTCTCCTCCCTCTCCTCCCTCTCCTCCCTCTCCTCCCTCTCCTCCCTCCCATCCCTCTCCTCCCTCTCCTCCCTCCCATCCCTCTCTCCCCTTACCCTCTTCTCCCTCTCCTCCTCTTACAGGCGAGCCCCACTGAGTTTGCAGGCACGCCCTACTACATGGCCCCGGAGGTCCTCACCGGCTCGTAGAAATAAGGTCCTCACTCACTCGCCCCCTTCCCCCTTCCCTCGCCCCTCATTCCCCCACCTCTTACAGGCGAGGGTCTCACTGAGTTTGCACGCACGCCCTACTACACGGCCCCAGAGGTCCTCACTGGCTCGTACAAATCTGCTCCCTCTCTCACGTCTCCCCTCTCCCTCTATCGTTATTTCAGGCGAGCCCCTCACTGAGTTCGTAGGCACGCCTTACTACATGGCCCCTGAGGTCCTTCATGGCTCTCACAAATGTGCTCCTCCCTCTCCCCGTCATTGCCTTTCTGCCCTCTCACTGCCCTCTCCTCCCCTTCTCCCCCCTCCTTAAATAGGCGAGCCTCTGAGCTCGTTGGCACGCCCTACTACATGGCTCCTGAGGTCCTCTCCGGCTCATACACATGTGCTCCTCACTCACTCTCCCCCCTTCCCCCTCCCTCTCTCCCCTTCCCCGCTTGTCTAACAGGCGAGCCTCTCACTGAGTTCGTTGGCACGCCCTACTACATGGCTCCAGAGGTCCTCACCGGCTCGTACGGCCCTGAATCAGATATCTGGTCGGCGGGGATCGTCCTATACATTATGTTGTGCGGCTTCCCGCCGTTCTGGGCGGCGAGCAACGAGGGCATATTCGATGCGATTCGGCGCAAGGAGGTGCAGTTCAAGTCTGCCAAGTGGCGCACTGTGAGCGAGGACGCCAAGGAGCTTATAAAGAGGATACTCGTTAAGGACCCCCGCAAGAGGATCTCAGCGCTTGAACTGCTTGGTGAGTTCAATGGGTTGGGCTGATTGGCTTGGGTTTTGAGGTGCGTTTTTTGCGAGTGCGTTGATTGGCTTGGTAGGTGGATGGTGGTGCAGGTGCGTGTTTGCCATGTGTTTTGACTCATCTGGTGAGATGCGTGAGTAAGACCACTGTGTTTCCACTCTTGCTCTTTCCCCTCGCCTGCTCTTCCCCATTCCGTCGCCTCACACCCATGTCGTAAAAAGTTTTCACAGGAATGGCATCTTTCTTCCATCTATTTATCATCACGCACCATTGACCTCAAATTCCATCTGTCTGTTATGCATGGCATGGTATGGTATGGTACGGCGTGGCGTGACGTGGCATGGGATGGTGTTGCATGGCATGGCATGGTGCTGCATGGCATGGCATGGCATGGCATGGCATGGCATGGCATGGTGTTGCATGGCATGGCATGGCAGGTCATCCATGGATCGTGCAATACTCCACATAACAAAGTTTTCTGCACCACAACTTCACAAACGACAGTATTACAGGAGGGACTGACCACAACTAATTCCTCGCATCTTATTCCTGTCCTTATATGAGCAAAAACGAATTACAGCATTCTGCGGAAGGCAGAATATTGTGCGTGACAGCCTGACAGACCTCCACCTGCAGCTGACTTGCATCATGGCGATTGCCAGCGTGTGGTCTCAAACCCTCAGGAGCACCCATTTTGACCCTAGTTGATTGCCAAATGTTCAAGAGCTTGTCATCACTCTTAATTTAATTGTATTTGAATAATGCAATCTTGAATAACGTGCAGTACACTGAGTTCAACAATTGGAGAATTAGCGATGTAATCGCTATGCGCGAAGCAACGATGCCATTGACGGATCGCTAAGTAGGTTTGCTTGGCCATGTTACCAAGACCCCCGACATACTTCTCACTGACGGATCGCTAAGTAGGGATGCCGTTCGGAGACTTGTCACCTTGCATATAGTTGCTATTTTCGTAGGGTTGCCATTTTCTTACTACGTGCTAACTACCTGAACAGGCGCTGTCTCTCGCTCACTCGTGCAGCACAGCTTTCCGATATATTTGGAATGAGGAACCGCTGGATTTGCTATGCTGCACATGAATCGAGACGAGAACCCCTTCCATCAGTGGCAGTCTGAAATCGCCTTCCCAGTAGTTTTCATCCTATGATCCCAGCATCCGCCTGAAACCCTTCCATTTCTTCGTGAATCCTCACAACTACAACGACTTCGTGCTTTTGAACCCTTCCCAGCGGTTACCTCTCTCAACAGTTATCTTTTTCGGCGGTTACTCCTTTCCGAGTTTCATGGCCGACGCGCGGCCAGCTTCCGATGTCAGGCGGCGCAGGTCGGCGCATCGCGGGTACGTGATCAACGGCTAGTATCAACGCTCTGTGTCTCAAATCGGAGCGGTTTATCGTGAGGATGGGAGTTGGCTTCGGATACGCGGAGTGGAGGGTAGCCCTCAAACGATGACTAGCATGCACGTTGAGAGAGAGAGGCGGCATACCGGAGGTGAGGGAGAGCATACCGGAGGTGAGGGAGGAACTTTTGCGTCATATATCAGACGTTTTGCTCGTCGCGTTTGCTCTTTTACTCTGTGACCCCAGTCGACCCTATGTGCCCCCAGTCGACCCTATGTGCCCCCAGTCGACCCTATGTGCCCCCAGTCGACCCTATGTGCCCCCAGTCGACCCCATGCAGACGAGAAGGATCGTGACCACACAGCCAAGCCTCGGGACCACCACCACGCGCCCGCCACGTCAGCTGCGGGTTCTGCCACGTCAGTGGGAGGAAATGGAGGCGGGCTACCAGCAGCTGCTGCTGTGGGTCCACCTGGATTCGCGTTCCCTGCCTCCGCTGCCACATCATCTGCATGTGAGATAAGCGGCCATCCTTGGATCTAGGTTTCGCAAGGCATGTTTCGGTTTGAGACTTTGCACCATGGTTTGAGACTTTTCACCATTGTTTGAAGCTAAGGTTTCTTTACTTGCAGTGGCGGTTAAGGTTTCTCGGCTTAATGTGCCTGACCACACGCTTTCCTGGCCTCGTTTCATCGCTATTCCTTGATCAGTTCCCGGTCGAAGACATTGAGGTCGCATTTGTTTTCAATGTCCCATACACCCCCCCCCCCCCCCCCCCCCCCCCCCTCCCTCCCTCCCGCCCTCCTTTCTCCCCTCCCACATGGATTCAACCTCCCTTTCTCGCTCATTCACCCTCTTCCTCTCACATTCACCCTCTCTCCCTCACATTCACCCTCCCTCCCTCACATTCACCCTCCCTCCCTCACATTCACCCTCCCTCCCTCACATTCACCCTCCCTCCCTCACATTCACCCTCCCTCCCTCACATTCACCCTCCCTCCCTCACATTCACCCTCCCTCCCTCACATTCACCCTCCCTCCCTCACATTCACCCTCCCTCCCTCACATTCACCCTCCCTCCCTCACATTCACCCTCCCTCCCTCACATTCACCCTCCCTCCCTCATTTTCACCCTCCCTCCCTCACATTCACCCTCCCTCCCTCACATTCACCCTCCCTCCCTCACATTCACCCTCCCTCCCTCACATTCACCCTCCCTCCCTCACATTCACCCTCCCTCCCTCACATTCACCCTCCCTCCCTCACATTCACCCTCCCCTCTGTGCAACGCCATTCTAATCACTATCACCATCTCCAGCTGCTGGAGTGCGGCCATCCTCCCCCAACGTTCGCCCCCCTTCGCCGCTAACCCAGCAAACCTCTGAACCGACTGCAGCAGGAGCGACGCAAGCAGCTGGCAGTGTAGAGCCGGTGCCTCCAAGGTATGCCTCTTTCTTTTGTGATGAAAGGAACACTGCTGTTTGTAAAAAGTTGTTGTGAAAAGCGATTCAAGCAGACGGCAGAGCAGAGCCGGTGCCACCGAGGTATGCGTCTTCTGTTGTGATTTGCTTGTACGTCCACCTTTGTTTAAAGCAGGGTGATTTTGAGAATTCTCCAAATCTTCTTCCACCTTCATTTGAAGCTCTGCCCTTGGAAGCCCTCTGCCCTTGGAAGCCCTCTGCCCTTGGAAGCCCTCTGCCCTTGGAAGCCCTCTGCCCTTGGAAGTATAGATGGGCAACTGGCGAGTCGAGTAAAACTTGACTCGCTTTGGCGAGCTTTTTGTTGAGCTCGAGTCGAGTCGAGTTTTAATTGTCGAGTTTTTTTGGCCAAAAATCAAACTCGAAACTCGCCTCTAAACTCGAGTTTTTTTAAAACTCATACGAGTTTTGAAAAACCTCGATCGAGTCAAGTAAAACTCGACTCGATGTTAACCAGCACCCACAGCCACCACTTTTGCCACACAACACCAGCCAGAGGGAGCACAGAAAAAAGCTCCATCCACACCCACTCAACATAGCAATAAGCGTATATACGCTATAAGCGTATTTGGCAACTTAGCGTCAGAGGGAGAGAATAGCTAGGTAGTCTAATAAATAAAGATGTCTATTATGCTGATCTGAACTTACTCTAACACAAGGGGAGAAGACATATGGGTCCGACATTGAAGAGTGTTATAATGCTTGCGGGTGTCATTATCCTAAACCCTGAATGAAACCCTAGAAAAACACGATTTTGTTTAAGAAGAACACGTAGGCTGAGCGGACGTCTCTAGCTAAGGTAGACCTCCTAGAAAGTATCCAACGAGATGGTGGTTGCTTTTAGATCTTGAAAACCAGATCTGGAAAATGAACATTTTTCACATTTGTATCCAACCTAGATGACGCGCGAGTTTTTTTCATGCTCGAAAATGGGCAAAAAAACTCGCGATTCCAAAAAACTCACGAGTATTGAAAAAACTTGTTGGGAAAACGAGTTTCCCACGAGTTTTTTTTTAACTCGCGAGTAAAACTCGACTCGAGCGTCCGAGTTTTTTCAGCAAAAAGTCGAGCTCGAAACTCGAGCTTTTCGAGTCCCTCGAACGAGTCGAGTAAAAACTCGACTCGTTTGCCCATCTATACTTGGAAGCCCTCTGCCCTTGGAAGCCCTCTGCCCTTGGAAGCACTCTGCTGCGCTGAATCTTCTGCTTCCTCACTGAATAAAACGCTGCTTCACTCTGCCTTTGAAAGCCCTCTGCTGCACCCTGCCTTTGAAATCCCTCTGCTGCACCCTGCCTTTGAAATCCCTCTGCTGCACCCTGCCTTTGATGAAAGCCCTCTGCTGCACTCTGCCTTTGAAAGCACTGACATCTCTGTTTCCTCACCGCGTTTCCTTGATTCCACACTCATCACCTCTTATGATCCCTTCTGCCTCAACCCAATCGCCTTTGAAAAGCTGCTCTGCCTTTGGAAGCTCTCTGATCCACAGCACATGTGCTGCACTGACAGCTCTCTGATCCACAGCACATGTGCTGCACTGACATCTCCGTTTCTGACATTTCTGCCCTGACACTCAGCTCCTGTTAGGATCCCAATCGCGTCAACCCAACCGCCTGTGCTCTGCACTCGTTCTTGCCCAAATCATTTTTCTTCAACGTATCCCAAACTCTGCTGCGCTCTGCCTTTGAGTATCCAATGGTCTAAACTCTCCTTTTTTGTCCACACCCACCTACCCTCAGTCACTCTCTCCTCCATTCCCATCTCCTTGTCATTTCTCGCCTCTCCCCCAACCTCCTGTCAGACCCCACTCCGCCTCCACCCAGTCACCTCTGGCACCACTGCACCCTGCATCTGCTGCAGCGTCCCTGCAATCCCAACACTCTCAGCAGCCCCAGCAACCCCAGCAATCCCACCAGCCCCACCAGGCCCATCAGGCACAGCAGCGGCACCAGGAGGAGGTACAGAGAATGCTGGCGGCGAAGCGGGCGGCGGTGCAGAGAGCAAGGCAGATGGACGCCACAGGCCACTTCAAGCCGTGTGACTCCATGTTTGGGAATTCCCTCGTTCCCGTTATTCCGTTCCAACAACCTTAGCATCTTTCATGTATTCAGTGCAGGCCTCAGATTCGTTTGGCGCCACAGGCTACTTCAAGCCTTGCTTTCATGTTTGGAGATTCCCTCGTTCATATTATATAGCCTGCAGTACAAGCTCTGCCCCTCTACCTCAAGTTGACCTTCCACTCAACCTAGGTGGGCCTGACTGACCGATTTGCCCCTGCATCATCTCTGACCAGGCCCTCATTCATTTTAGGCTACACTGATGCATCAGGGCTGTTTAGTAGAAAAGCAGCTCTTGTCTTGATTCATCAGGACTATTGTAGAATTGTGAAAGTGTACTTAGATCATCTTGCAAAGGCAGCGTTATCATTTCATATGGGTTCTAGTACATCGTTCTCGTCCTATATAGGTCTACGTAACAGCATACACAAATGGGTGGGCGGGTGGGAAATTAGAACTACAAACTGAGAAATGAAAACGTGGGTGGGGACGAATGTCCCCACGTCCCTCTTTTGTAGGCAAAAGAGGGCGAGTAGCGCTTCGGCGCTACCTTTGCTGTGCTGGCCACGTACCCCTTTTCACAATACAAAATTTTAGAAAGTGTTACATTTCATTACACTTTCAAAAATTATCATATTTTTACTGAATTTTCAGGGTAGGAAATATCCTACGTAGTGACTAAGGCGTCAGTCTGGCACGCTTGAGGACGCGAGCTCGATGCCCGCGGTCTCCTTTCACCTCCCCGCTGGCGCGAAGCAGATGTCGTTGGTCGGGTGTAACTGCTCGGAAATTATTGTCTGGAGTACATCTCGCTTCAGTGAGATATTCGACACTTTCTTGAACCATCAGGGCTGAACCTACACCGTTACCGTATACTGAATTGTCAGTACACTTAATAACCACTATACTGATTTTAGAGGACAAGTATTTCCCTAATGCTGTTTTTCCAGGACAGACCCATAACACCTATCCTGAATTCCGGAAATTCAGGATAATTTATCCTGATAACATAGGGCCTCTGACCCATCATCTCAACTGATGTAGGTAAGTGGGCTTGTTTGTGACCATAATGTCCACTCCACACAATACAGTAACTTGTCAGCTTACATCACCATAATTACATTCCACTCAGCGTGCTGTAATATAGTACACAAGGAGGAACACCCCATTGCCTCAGGTGTCATGCATTTGGAGGAATGGGAACGGTAGAAACGCCGTGAATCTGAATGTTTTTCGTCAGGCTCATATTGGCCATGTTCAGAGGCCCAAACGACTTCCCTCCTTGGGCCCTGAAGTAACACTCTCGCTGGCTGATCTTATTCATTTTAATCAGCGCTAAGTCCATGTTCATGGTGCGAAACTGCCATAACGGAACAGTTGACAGAAGCCGGTTTTTGCTGAATTTCCCCTTCATAATCAGATTCTTCAAGATGCGTAGGCGCTGCTGCGGAGTGTAAGACTCCCACTTTTTCTTCATAAATTGGTTGCCAATATTGGAGGGGATGAGGATGGTCGCAGGGCCGTCAAGTGTAATCAGCTTAAATCTCGCTGCAACGAACAGGAGAAAGGGAACAGAGAGATTTTTTGGACACGCCCAGATTGAGAACAGTCACGCACACAGTCTACGGAGAAGAAATAATTGTTTTATTTTGTCAATTTACCTGCAGTGTAGAATCGCTGAGCGAAAACGGAGAAGAAGGCGTATTTCTTATCAAGGTCCTTGAGCGCCGCGAGGAGTTCCCACTGAGGTACTCCTTTCTGCACTGCCCTTTTCACCGGCGCCGCCTTCTTGCTCTCTGCTGGCACCGCTAGCAGCAACAGAGCCGCCGCGATCGCCGCGACGAGCAGGGAGAGTATGCGAGGACAAGCCATTGGTAATACCGAGTGCTTGAGTCCACGAACGAGTGGCTCGAATGTCAGCGAGCAGCGATGGTATTGATTGGGACTAGAAGGTAGAGGCGTATCAGTGTCTCGGCTTTGGTGAAGACTGAGGTCGCTGAATCAGCTCTTTCGACTAGGTTTCTGGCCACTGCCAAGCGCCGTAAGGGCTGTGTATGGCAGAAAAAAGGTGGACGGTGAAATGTGAGGAAACGATGAGCGTTCTTATGCGAATCCTGCTCACGTGCGGACCACTGTACTTGCAATGAGGAAGACCAGGGTTTCTAGAGGTCTGCGTGAGGAGACACTGAAGCGATGGGGGAGGGACGATACGGAGAAGAGAAAGCGCCATGATTGAGAAGTTGGAGAGTCGGGCCGGGGGTGAAGTGCTAAAAACACAGGTCCATGATGCACTGCAGCAGTCTGGATGGCAGAGCAGCGGAAGGGACAACATCGGGACGGTGGAAGTAAGAGGAAACCCTAGAGAATTAGAACAAGAAGAAAGTGAGGCATGGCAGTGCGATGAAGACAGGACGGTGGGGAATGGAGATGTGAAGCTTGAAGGACGTGTTCACAATTCGGACACGATTCCTAAAATCGTAATTTCCAAGCGTGACATTTCTGCAGTGCCCAAAATGTGTACTCGAGTGTAGCTGCTGGGGAGTTCTACACCATCCCTCCGAGAATCGTTTGCGGAAGTGTGACACGGGGTGCTCTTCATGCCAATATTCATGCGGCTCTGTAAACACTCCCTTCAAATGCACTGAAATTTGTGACGGTTCATATTCCGCTGGTGTCGTCTCGCGAATGTGTGCGATCCCATTCTGCGACAGGGCAGTGGAGGAGGTGCCGGTTGATCTTCTCGCGAAACTCGTGATCCCATGTTTTCGTCTCTCAGCATGTAACAGCGTGACACAGTCTTCACATCGACTCGTCAAACGCGGTACAAAAAGAATCACCGATAGTCGTTCATTCATTCGTAGGTTTGCTTCACCATATAAATACCAAGACCTGACTTAAGGCGCGTGTGATATTTTTTTCAAACTTCTCAAAGTTCGAACTTTTAGAAAGGTTCTACACGGTAGGATACAATTGATAGATTTTCGCCACGGTGCAAAGCGGTTTGATTTCAAACTTCGACAAAATTTCAAAGATCACGCATGCCCTTACTTCCCACCAATAGATAGCAAGCAGGTCAGGAGGAGTTGTTGCAAATGCCGTTCAGATACTGTTGAGATGTTTAGGCAAGAATGGTGGAACTATCAGAGGAATAGGATACTAATGTGAAACCCTAAAGGGGTTGTACCCCTTAGTGGCTACCCCACTCTAGCCTACACAACCTGCACAATATATATAGTTTAACACATCCCCATAGGCAAAGTGGGGGAGAACCAGTGGTCACAAGACCAGTCGAAAAAAGCAAAGCAAGCTCAGGGTGGATCATGAAGTCACCACACATTCCGAGCACAAGCAAAAGGCCACAAGGCCAGTTCACATGCAGAGTTATATAAAACAAAGCAAGTAGTACAGTGATCACTACCTAGCAAGTGTAAGCATGCAGGTATATATAAAGATCACAGTACAAGCAAGGTCAAGCAGTGAGCAAGTGAGAGAACGTAGGCACTAGGCCTAAAGCAGTGCAGTGCCGCTGATGATTACTAGGCGGAAGTGCCGTGGTGAATATATCCGTAGTGTTGGCCTGCGTGTCCATGTAAGCAAGACGAAGCTGGCCACGCTGCTGCAGCTCTCGTGCAAGAAAGTAACGAAGAGCGATGTGCTTCGTTCTGTGCTTCAGTCTGTGCTCCTGACACAAGGCGAGGGCCGCCTTGTTGTCGCCGTACAGAACTGGAGGAGAACAAGGCCGCTCTCCCAAGTCAGTCAGCAGGTAGGTGAGCCAGCGAAGCTCCTGTGCAGCCATGGCTGTGGCGTAGATCTCAGCCTCACAACTGGAGCTGAGAACAGAAGAAGAGCGGGTAGACCGCCAAGAGACAGAGCCGGAACCAAGACTGAAGGTGTAACCCTGTGACGACCGCTGTGTAGCCAGGTCGTCAACCCAAGAGGCGTCTGAGTGTCCAGTGAGGACAACGTCACCTCGTCCTACAAGCAACAGCCCCATGCCTGATGTACTGCACAAGTAGCGCAGCACCCTCTTAGCAGCCTCCCAATGCTCTCGCCGGTGTCTCCCAGGCGCAACGTAGCGAGCTAGGATGCTAAGAGGGTACGCAAGGTCAGGTCGAGTGCAGATCATCAGGTACATGAGGCAGCCCACAAGCTCTGGGTACGGGCCACTCGGCTCTACGGACTCGTCCGAAGGTGGAGCTGAGAGCGAGTGACGTGTAGACAGAGGAGTGGACTGTGGTGAGGAGTACTGGAAGTCGAAGCACTGAAGGATCTACTGCACCATGTCTGACTGGTTCAGTGTAATGGTGCGGCGTGATCTGTCCCGGGTGATCTGCAAGCCAAGGTAGCTGCGCAGCTCACCCAGGTCTGTGCACGCGTGTCTCTTCTGCAGCTCCGACTTCACAAGGGCGAGTGCCTCAGTGTCAGCAGTGGCAAAGACCAGGTCGTCGACGTACACGAGGATGTAGAACGGCGGCAGCGAAGTGTCGGTGCGAAGAAACAGCGACGGGTCAGCAGTGGAGGGAGCAAACCCAAGAGCCGCGAGTGTCGTCCTCAGTGTGTCGTGCCACTCACGAGGCGCCTGGTGGAGACCGTAGACTGGCCGTCGGAGGCTCCACTGGGTACCAAGAGGGAACGACCCAGTGAAGCCAGGTGGGCGGCGCAGCCAGATCTCCTCGTGCAGGCTGCCCTGCAAGAACGTTGTGGTGAAGTCAAGAGAGTGAAGCTCGTAGTCACGCTGAGCGGCAACGTGCAGCAGCACCCAAAGAGTGGTCATCTTCGAGGTAGGGGAGAAGAAGTCAACTCCCTGTCGCTGACTGAAGCCTCGAGCAACATAACGAGCCTTGAAGACAGGCGGAGAACCCTGCGGCCGCTTCACCCTGAAAATCCACATGCCATCGACGATGTTCACCCCAGGAGGGGGAACCTCGTCGACGTAGGTGCCTGTGGACTTCCAGGATGCCATCTCTGCGTCCATGGCTATCTGCCACTGAGAGGAGTAGGGACCCGTAATCGCCTCTGCGTAAGAGCGCGGGGTCAGGATGTCCAGTGCATCCGGGTCTCCCTCAGGTGCAAGCAGCCAGGCCACGAGATGAGGTACAGCAGCCGCAAGAGACTCAAAGTCCTCCTGCCTGTCCTCAAGGACGTCCGTGCCAAGAGCACACTCACCCCCGACGGACGGAGGACAGGCAGACTCAGACTCAGCAACAAGACTGGCGGCGTAGTCTAGACGACACGCAGCAGCAAAGTCGACAAGCTCAGCAACTAAGGCAGACGCAGCAGTGGACTCGAACGATGGGTCAGCGAAGAATGTAGCTAGCCAGAAGACGCGTGACTGTGGGGCTAGCAGCACGAACACGGTCAGACTCAGGGTCAGGAAGCTCAGGAAGAGAGGACGCAGGAGGAGACGGCAGCGGGACGCGCTGTGGAGCAGAGGAGGGACGAAGTGCCATAGTGTGAGTGCCTGGCACAGGAGGAGGACGTAGATGCGGGACACGACGAGCGGTGCGAGCAGTGCAAACAGGGGAGTCAGGACGAGATGCAGTCTCACGACGCTCTGTAAGGGAGATCGGCTGCTCAGTGTAACGAGGGGGGGCAGGCAGCGGTGAGTCAGGAGGAAGGGCAGTGGACGAAGGAAGACTAAGAACCTGGCGGAGGACCGATCGGGCAGAAGCTCAGATAGCTGCGGCGACGGCTCGAAGAACAGTCGCTGCTGCATAGGGTCTCCAACTCCAGTACCTCCAGCGCCAGCACCGCCAGCTCCAGAAGTGCCAGCTCCAGCGCCTCCAGCTCCAGCGTCTCCGGCTCCAGCGCCTCCAGCGCCATCGCCTCCACCTCCAGTGTCTCCGGCTCCAACGGCTCCAGCGTAAGCGCCTCCAGCTCCAGTGCCTCTAGCTCCAGCGGCTCCAACTCCAGGGTCTCCAGCTCTAGCGCCTCCAGCGCCAGGGCCACCAACTCCAGCGCTACCAGCTCCAGTGCCTCCTGCGCCAGCGTCCCCAGCTTTAGCGCCTCCATCTCCAGTGCCCCCAGCTCTAGCGGCTCCAGTTCCAGTAGCGATGCGCCGGAGGCGAGTGCGCTGAGCTAGCCACTCGCGCAGCTGCTGTGGTGAGAGAGGCTCCCGCTGGGGAGGCCGCTGAGGTGAGGCATCCGGAAGACGACCAGTAGACCCAGCTCCACCAGGCTCAGCACCTTCAGGCTCTGCACCCTCAGGCCCAGCATCCCCAGAAGCAGCACCCCCAGGTGCAGCACCCCCAGGCTCAGCACCCTCAGGCTCAGCACCCCTAGAAGCAGCACCCCCAGGCTCAGCACCCCCAAGCTCAGCACCCCCAGACTCAGCACCCCTAGGCTCAGCACCCCCAGAAGCAGCACCCTCAGGCTCAGCACCCCCAGGCTCAGCACCCCGAGCAGCACCACCCCCAGCAGCACCTGAGTCACCAGTGACCTCGACAGGCTCAGCTAAGGGAAGTGGGTCTACCTGAGAGACACCTGAAGGAGCAGGACCCTCTGTCAGAGTGCAGACGCAGGACAAGAAGGTCCGTGCGGAACCGCTCGCGCAGCTGGAGACGGACAGCTCGGATCCAAGGGATCAAAACAGCAGGGACCTCACCCTTGCTGCGTAAGGGGAAGACCGTGGTGTAACGCGAGTAGTCGTCGACAACCAGCAGAAAGTAGCGCTCGCGGCCCTGTCCCTGGACGCGGGCTGGGCCCCACACATCCATGTGGAGAGTCTGCAGAGGAGCAGTCGTCGGGGGAAATGAGGAGGAGTGAGGAGCGGCGCGCTGCCACCCCTCGACGCAAGGAATGCAGGGCGGGGCAGGCGAGGGTGGGAGGGAAGGCAGAGACCTGGGAAGACCAGAGACCAGAAGGCGAGAATG